CATTTTATTTACTAAACAGTCTATAATTTATTCTTTAAAATTTTTTATTACCGAAATTAAAATTAATTGCGTTTTATATATAGATATCAGAGATTTAAAACAATGACCGATTCTTATCGACTCGGAATTTAAATATTAGACACAGTTTTAATCGAATTAGTTTGAATTTAACTATTAGAAACGTGGGGATATTTAAGTTCAATATCGGTGAAAATTTTAATTTGAATATAAATATCAAATTTCATGTAAATATATGCTTAATCTAGTATTTTTAATTTTTAACTCAGATACGCGATATTTAGCTTTAAATATTCAAGTAAAGGCTATATGATTATAATTATTATAAATGTCGCAGTTTTGAAGTGTACGCACGAATATTTTGTTCCTTAGCATGATTTATTAATTAAAGAGATCTAAATCTATTGATATGTAAAACTAACACATGACCATAAGGTTCACCGACCATTCAATGACAGCGCCATCTGCCGCGGGCTCTACCTGTGGGTACCTGTCAGGTAAACAAATACGTCACACCCCCATTGTTTTATTAGCCATACACACCGACAGATTTCACACCTTTAATCGTATACTAATTCACACAAAGCAAATTCTAAGGAAAAACAAACACTTGCATAATAATTGTGGCGTTATTTTATAAGAAATCATGGTCCTATACGGCACTGCTTAAAGCACACTTAACGAGTAGATTCTTGTATAGAACACAACAGGGTAAATCCTTCTTATCATATAGTATAAACTAACTTTCTTTAATTTTATATGTTAAAGTCAAGATTAAAACATTTTGCACCACCCGGACCTTAAAACGTAGGGGGACCTTTTCTTATACGGACCGGACCTTTTCTGATAAAAGGCGGACCAAATATGTTATCGTATTAGGTCCGGACGGACCTTTAAACCAGGCGGACCAAATATTATGCGACACCGGTCTATCAATATTTTTTTCGGAGAGCTACAGCTGTACAGATCTGCAGCTAATTTTTATGAAACCTAATTTATATGGTTGTCAAATAAGTTTAAAATCACACGACAAACACTGCTGGGGTAGAAAGAGGACACAATGGCGTTATTTTTTTTTTGATTTAGTTTTTATTCATCAACACTGAAGAATAGTACATGTATGTCACAATATTCAGGTTAAAACAGATTGTAGGCCAGTCTATAGAAACAATTCTTTAGCTTAAAAGTTTCACACCTATCTATCCATAAATGTTCATGTTTTGATTTTCATTCTAATGTCAAAACTGACCATTGACTGGGTTGAATTGGTGAATTATGCATGCATCAAAGTACAATCTGTTATTTTAATTTACAATATATTCTCACCATTAAAGACACCAATGCCCCATTTGGTATTTTTCTTTGTCGAGTTGCTGTACTGGTTAGTTTCAATCTCCAGCAGGTCCTGTTCCTGTAAGGTCTTGAATCTCTGGGCAGTAGTCACCTCTGAAATGCTGTCTGGTAGAGGCTGTAAACTGTATTTGTGTTTATGTGTGAGACTTCAGTACTACTATTAGGTTGCAGCTCTGTTTTTGTAACTGCTTCTAAAGTTTGGTCTTCTTGGATGTCTGTAACTGCATTCAAAAGCATCTCATCAAAACCTTGGATATCTGACTGGAGTACTTCTAGAAGACTAAGAACCTCTCCTGAATTCATTTCCTCAGGTAAATTCAATTCGAATGTTACTGGGGGTGTTTCAAAACTTTCGTTTTATCGATTCCATTTTACATGTAATCATGTAGTCTACGTATGACGTCTAATGCAGACGATAAAATTTTCTTCTTTTCAAATTTTAAAATAATTTCTTTATTTAAGTAATTAAAAAGGTTTTTTTAATATAATTTTTATTTTGTTAATTTAATATCAATGCAAATAAAAGGACTTTTAGACAATCAAACTAAATAGAGAATCAACGAGAACATGGAGGCAGCCGTATTGTTATACTAGAAACAGGTGAAGAAAGTACACCAGTAGTTCCGGCTGTAAAATTCATCGATGTGTAAATTCCTTTTGGAATCTATTCTTGTCAAATCAAAACGCAGGAATTTAATGAATTTATTTCATATTGGAATTATAGTATAAGCGAGTCATAATTGTACATCTCTGCCATAATAGAATACCAACGTTATTATAAAGAATAAAATGAAATAAGATTAAATAAATACTCACGGGAAAACAGGTTGAAAATAGCTAATTGAAGGTGAGTATTTTTTTATGTGAATTTAGATGGAAATTTTTATTCAAAGACACCGTAAATTTTTTGGTTGTATTTTAATCGACACAAGATATGCTATTTTATCTTTACTGTATGCATTTGTGTGAAAATTAAGAGCGAAAAGTCATATAAACAGGATTTTCTTGTTTTTTTTTAGGAGGGGGGGGGATATAAATAAAAGTCAAATGTGTACATCTCGTCATGAGTTTATAATACATTGAATTTCTCAATATAGATCATGGTACAGTCAAATTAAAATATGAATTATATAGTCAAGTTTTCACATTTCTTACACCTTTTACGTTTATGAACATGTTAATGAACAAACTGAAATAATGGAGTGTTCACTCTTGTCTTACTTTCTGGGAATATAATTCCTCATGGACATTGAAATTTCATAAAAACCGTAGCCACTTTCTGTTTTATACTACATGATAGTAAGGGTAGATTTTACCTTCTGCCCTCTATTTTACGCAGTTTTTAATATCGCTCTCTTAAAACGTCATTATAATATGCTATACTACTCAATATCTAATTCGTTCTAGACAATATGTCACACTTTTCTATTAGTTATTTTATCTCTGATACTTATTACTCATGACAATAACTTTTCCTAATACTAATACTCCATAATGAAAAAAAAGTGTTAAAAAATAAAAAAAAATGAATTCTAGTTACTTGTAGTATCATATTGCGTTAGAAAATAACAGGTTGCTTTTTGTTTACCTATATGATTTTTATTTGATGAATAAATACCCTACAATTAAAAATATATATAACCGAGTTTAACCGACCGTGACATTCAAAGACATAGTGCATTAACATTTAATTTAGTGATTGCAGAAGAGAGGTCGACACAGCAAAACACAGTCGAGGTTGTTTTGTCAGAGGTGTCAAGAAGTCTTTAGCCCCCCCTCTCCTCCTTTTGAAATTGCCAAGAAATGGTAAAATATTTATGAGTTAGCGAAATTAAACGGTCGACAGTTATGTTCTCTCATAAGCTGTATTCCTAAACTGTCACTGTCTCTGCTAAGACATATTCTACAAATATGTATGAATGATAAAAAAAAATCCAAAAAAAAAAAGAGAAAGAGGGTTTTTAGCCGAAATTTTAGATAATTATTTTTATCATTACATTATTTATACATTCATAAATAAATTTGATTTTATGCACAAGATAAATGTGAAAGTTATTAATGACGCATAATTAGATACGAAAGACAATCCCTTGTTTATACATGGCATTATATCTTGTGTGTGAAATGTGTTTCCGTATAGTTTGATTTATTTACAAATTGTTCATGTTTGTCGTGTTGATGTGGAATTATTATAAATTCCCGAATTCTGACACTTTACAATTCCGTTGTGTTGGGAATGAACATAAGGAAGATGCATATACTTTCAACATTATGAAAAATATAAAGCAAATCGAACGCCCTTTTGTGTGCAGATCATGAAATGTTCTGAGCTCCATGGGTATTTGTTGTCCGGAGCGCATAAATCTTGACGCCCAAATTCTTACTTGGCTAGTGATATCTTTAGAAAACATTTGTATCTAGATGAAAGTTAACTCGGCAACATGCGCCATCCCATTGTTTAAGTTTTATTAGGTGATTACACCTCCTATACCCGATTTCAGGGATTCAACGATACCCTAAAATCGGGTATTATACGCGATTTCACGGATAATACCCGATTTCGAGTATTCTCTCCGACCTGTATAAGGGATTAAAAGGCTTAAGATCATATCTAATTTGAATCTAATTAACGTTACACTTATCCATTCCTACTAATAAATTTGCAATATCGCAAAAAGCAAAAGCTTTTACAAAGCAATTTTCTGAAAATTACAACAAGTACTCATTTGCTTTATAGATTGCCTAGATTCAATATATTTTTTACAGATTATTAAATAAAACATATATTGCCAATTATTTGGACTAGAATTATTTTAACTACAAAATAATCAACAAAAACAAAACCCAATTGTTTGAATTTTTTTATTCACAACGTTGAAAACATGAATATAATTTTGATAATTTACATTATCCCAGCATGGAAGACATGTCTACTACAGTAGTCTGTACCTGAAATAAACCACGAAGGAATTATTCTAGGATCAGAACTGGGTAAATATACATTAGGCTCTTAAACCCTCTGCTCACTCATATAAAATGTTGCTTGAATTTTATTTGCTTTTCCAAAAGATGTGTGTTTTATCAGTAAAATACAAATGCAAACAATTATAGCATAGCTTCCGGGGCAAAATTGGACAAAAAAAGAATCTTCGACTTGATAAAAGAATAATAGACATGTATGTCATTAAGAGTTATCTCTCTTATCAGAGTATAGATGAACCTTAAAAGAGATTGATAAAAATATGAAGTACGATTTGAGGTAAAAAAAAAAAAAAAAAAAAAAAAACTTCTAACGCAAATAAATGCAATCATTTATGAAATTTAAGCAATTTCCTTCCAAACTAACTTCAACGCGAATAATGGTATTTAAATATCAGAAAATAAGGACAATTTGTTTATAATATATATTTTCAAACAAATTTTGCTCCATTTAAATGTCAAATTTAAAATAAAAATTGAAAACCTTTAGTTTAATTTAAGATCTTTTTAATAAAAGAGCAAAACACATACAAGTAACACAAAAAATATACTCAAAAATAGTCTTCTGCAAACAATCCCGAGTCTCATGTTTTTAAAAACAGATTTTACCTGAACAAATACTGCAATATTTTCTACAATTTTTCTCCCTAATAAAATGTGACGACTGTTGGTACACATATCTTGACCATATTGATTACAGTTAGAAAGTTTGTCCTCGCAGGGTACAGTTATAGTTGGCTCTACAGGAGAAAAACGGGCTTATGTATTTACAGATACATGGAAGTATTAAAATAGCAGGAAAATTTTCATGCAATAAAATATACCGATATTAAAAAAAAAAAAATTTAAATCCTTTTTATGCAGATCATCTTGTCTGAACGCTGTAGCAAACTCCTTTTTTAAATACTTTTGTAAATAACCTTTTTAACAATTTCTGATTTTTCAGGGTTATTTTCGTCTACTATTAGTACATTATCTTGAAAACATTAGTATTACCCTGACAAAATCCACAGTACAGCGGACAATTTTTCTCAGACCATTGATAGAATGGTCCACTCCTTCTACAAATCTCTTCCTTTCTATATATAAGGCACAAGGATGGGTGTCCATGCACACTGCAAAATAGAATCTGTACATGTGATAAAATTAGAACACAGTTTCTATTTAAATTACTACTAGTAGGTGTGGAAATTAACTATCAACTTATCTTTAATCACCCCTTTGATTTGTTCTGTTGTATCCATTTTTAATTTTTATGTAGCAAAAGGTATAGTATTGCAAGAAGGGTCTTTCCAAATTCACCAATATGCGCGACAGTCCAATATACCTTTGGGTGTTGTCGATGCAGATACATCAGTCATGATTGGGCTGCCAGTCTTGGACCATGTTTCTGTGCAAATCAGAGTGTAGTAAAATATAATATCCTTTGTACTCGTATATTGTCATAATTCCACGTACAGTTATTCAATAAACTGTAAAATTTGTTTTGTGATAGCGTAAGACAGACCAATAATCGCATTATTTGATGTCCCCTTAGGCACTGCAAAATCAAGATAACAAGAATACAGATTTTCTCCATACCCATGTTTGCAGTTTATTGATTAGTATCTATGATCGAAAAAAATCTGCAATTTTGGGTTTATCGAAATCCCATGGAGGCCAGTTCAGTGAAGGAAATATTTTTATTGCATTTAAACAACGCAATAATCCTTGCTATTTAAAAATGCAAAATTTTGCGTTGCAACGCAATAAAAAAATTAACTATGCACGGCCTCGATGACAGGGTTCGTTAGAAACATACTTTATATAACTACTGGACCCGCATCTACAAAGTTAAATGTCACACCTGAAAAAGAATTAAAATTATCTCATTATTTGGCTAAATTTACATGGTCATTTCTTTTACAACACTTGTATTTAAGTTACATGTACATGTGTAAACAAGAAAAACATATAAGCTTACTTAATATTACTAGAAACCAAAAATGAAACATAATCCCATATATTTTACACACTTTTTATGAAGTAAAAGATTGAACGATAAGTACAGTGATGACATTCACTATTTTCTTATCTCGTGTATAATTGACTTCAATCTGATAAAACTTTTAGCAATGTCCATATCAAGTAGTTCAAGTTTTACATGACTGATTAAAAACAATGGACCTAAGTGAAAATTCTTTCAAGTACAGAAGAAAAACTGTTTTGAGCAGAATAAAATATCAAAATTTCAGTCAAAACAAAACTGCTCTTTCATCAAACTCACCTCACAGGATACCTGCTTGAAGTGGCCTCAATCAATCCCGGCAAACAATTCCATAATTTGATTCAATTGAATATTTGCCATCTGTCTCACAGGGCAAGCAAAGGATGCTTTTTACTGAACAAGTGTTTTTCTCTCTCTCTTCATTGATAATTTCAATCAGTGACGATTGTTCTGTGGGCACATGCGCGCATAAAGTTTCTCGACTTAATACCTTGACAGCTAATCAAGGACATGGTAGTCCCCAAGTTGAAATTTTTAAAATTTAAATGAGTTTGACGACTCTTTAGGTCAATCAATCTAATCTTTGGAACCAAAGCAATATATGATTAACGGGACAGTACCATTAACAGTTACTGCACTATCTTCAGATAAAAAAAAAGTAATCATATTCACATGGCACAGTAAATAGGCAGTCCAGCAAGATTAACTTTTATGTCCTAATATTGTGAGATATTGAGGTTTTATGATATTAATATAAAGTGAATGTTTATAGAAGTGGAATTACTTGTACGAATGATGGTAAGATAAAAGTAGTAATATTCTTCAATTTAAAAGATTTTCTGAGAACTTTAAATCATTTTCTTGTTTATATGTACTAAATAAAAATATGTATAACAAATTACCCGTTGCTTTCAAAATAATTCGTTATTTCAAGGCTTTTGTGTAAACTTTCTGTAGGGTATCAATGAAAAATTCACACGAGGATCAAACACATTTCAAACAATAATAATTGGATTTTTTGCATTTCGTCATTTTTATTGAAAAAAAAAGTTTTTGATAAAATTGAATACAGTATTATGCTCTTTTATAAAACTCTTCCCGAAGATATCATCCAAGCGCTGAAGAAGGGTCTATCACTGAGTCAGTCCCTATAATTCAAGAAAATGTTTTTGAAATTTTCAATGTAAAACTGCTTTCAATGTAGAGATGAAAGCTCTCTTGAAATTTAAGCTTTTTATGCAGAAGTGTATTCATACATGTAGCTTGGTCTGTCATTTCATTAGAAGAAAAAAAGTGATTAAAGTATAAGTTTATGAGTCGGTAATTGAGCCTTTAACTACGCAATTCAATTACCAGTTTTAAAGTGATTGTATACTTTAAGATGGTGAGTGCATACTATAAAGTATGCAAAATGAAAATTATAAGCTGTAGTGGAACTGTACCTAAAGATCTAGTAGAAGGTAGAAATTATCTTTTTATGTGAAATATTTGTCAGTGTGCAAGACAGAAAGAGAAAAAATAAGAACACTAGTATATGAAACTTCATACAATTCCTTTACAAAGATAGTTACCTGTGCAAATTCCACAAAATTTTCTACAGTTTTCTTCCCTCCATAAACGATAAAGAGGCTCGGTGCATAAATTACTTTGATATTCGTTACAATTGGAAAGTTTGTCCTGGCACGCTATTGTTGTTGTCGGTGCTAAGAAGGAAAAATAATGTTTTTAATTTATCATTTTATTCAGCACACATTTAATATAAGAATAGTTTTTATTTTTTTTTATTCATACAAAATTTTATTCACAAAGTGAATGGGATTGGGCAGCAGGCAAAGCCTATTTTAGCCCTTTCCCTTAAACAGATTAGTTTTTATAATCGAAGTTTAACAGTATCAACCTGTGATTTCATTTATCACTTGAAATGAAACTTTAAACGTCCTTTGTGATTTTTTCACTCATATTGAAGCAGAGTTTGTCCAAAATCTTAAACTTGTAAAAAGAAAAAAAACTCGCTGTACCCTTCAACTCGACATTTAGATATATATCAAAGACGTATTGTCAATTAACGTCATGGTTATTTCCATTCTAATGTCTATATGCTATATCCCGGTGAGCTTGAGATAAAAGATACTACAGAGTCTGACACATCTGTTTCATATTTGAATATTTTACTAGAAAAAGACGTTATTGATAATCTAACAACCAAGCTCTATGATAAAAGTGATGACTTTCACTTTTCAGTCGTCATTTTCCCTTACTTATGAAGAAAACACCTTCGTCACCTGTATACGCAGTATACGTATGTACAATTTCTAATACAAGGTAAATTATTGACAAAGAAGTTGATGAAACAAGAATATCAGCAGTCTCGTTTAAAGTCATCATTTCGAAAGTTCTATTGTCGATACAATGATCTTGTGAGCAAATACAATTTATCATTGATATGAATGCTGACTGACTTTTTTCATACTGAAATTGTTAGTCCATTATTTACACACTGAATTGAAGACGGACTTTCCCGTTATTTCACGATCATGACAAGGAGCACACGGTGGGTGTGAACGGTTGGCAGGGGATGCTCACTCCTCCATGGTACCTGATCCCTCTTCTAATGTTTTGAAGGTCTGTGTTTCCTCTACTCCCATACTCCCATTTTGTATTAATTTGTTTATTTGACATTTGAGCCTGAATACTGTTCGTTATCTCCATACATTTCATTGAGACGCCATCATTTGCCAGTGGAGAAGTGCAAATTTAAATTCGTACATGTCACGTAAGACAAATGTGTAGTGCTTGATCTTTGTTATGCCAGCACCACCTTGGTTTATACTCTTTTATTCGAATTTTGGTCTCCACGTCAAAAAGTGTATTTGAATCTGCGACTAAGTTAAAAGATCAATTCCTTATTTCGCAATTATAGAGCACCGCTCTATCCCTACCTCAAAGCGGGCAACTTGAAATGCTTAAATATTTTTATTGTTTTCCCTCGGTCGTTTCTTCTCGTAGCCTTTTTTGAATTATTATTGTGTATTATTGGCCACGAGTACCGAGAATTGGTCTAATTTTTCTGCCCTCCAACGACAAGTGTTGGTGTCTCAATATGACTGAAAATTCTCGAAAGGGGCATTTACCCAAAAAACAAAAAAAAGAATTCATTCCAATGATAAGCTTGCTGTTTCTGTTTAAAATTTATCCAATAACCCTTTTCTTATTAAATTCACGTACCTTGACAGAATCCGCAGTAAAGCGGACAATTTGTCGTTGCCCATGGAAAGTATATTCCGGTTTTGTTGCAAATCTTCTCCGAATTGTACACTTTACAATTCAAAGTATCTCTACAAGCTATCAACTGAACTAGTTTAGATACAAGCAAATGAAAAGATACAGCTTTTTTTTTGGGGGGGGGGGGGATAAGCATATGTCATTATATGATTAAAGTAGACATTTCTTTCACTACCTATGTCATTTTCAAACATTGTGCAAAAAGGTCTGAAGATTAATTTTTGTCCAATAGTTTATAATGAAATGTTTAAAATATTTGGAATTTTTAACAATCCTCGAAGTAGTAATGTGCCATTTAATTAATATCTAATGTTTAGAAATTTCTTAAATTCACAGCTTCAAAGATTTGTAGTGATTGTAGATTTTTTAAGATTGATCAATTTTTTGTCCTAACTTTTGTTTCATTCCTCGCAAATCTTTTTTTATTTTTCACCAACAAATATGGAACCGGAAGTTCAATTGAAAGAGTACTGTAGATTACCTTCAGGTACAGCAAAACTAGACACTTCAGTGGTGGATCTAGTGCTTCCTTGAGGTGTTCCAACTGTAAAAAAAATTACAGCAAATAAAAGAGTTTTTAAATGTTTTTATTCTATAAATACCGGAAAGAGATGACGGTCTACTTTTCATCAAATCAACACTGCATGAATTTAAATTATGCTATTTATTAATGATACAGAGTTCATGTTCTTTAAATTAGCTGACGACTTATTATCGCAGTTTTACTTTAATATCTGGTAGATGAAAGATGTAAATTACGCATAGATATGTTAAACTGTATGCTGTGGCATCATGATTTTTTGTGAAGCACCAATGTTTGTGGATTTCGTAGTTACATTGTACCTTTATCCACGAATTTACATCCCCCGAGAACAATTATTTTATCAATATAGTTATATATTCATTGAATCTCCTAAATACCCATATACAAGTAACCAACCAAATGACACTCCCAAGAAGGAAGAAAATATTGCTCACCCGCACAAATAAAAATGACTCCACTGCAAATTAAAAATTGTTTGTTGGTTCCTTTCAGTAAGAAATTATTTTTTACACAAAATGGCAAACAGAAGTACATTTGTACTTCTATTTGCCATTTTATGTTAAAAAAAACACTTTGTACTTTTCTTTAGATAAAAAAAAAAGCATTTCTGCATAAAACTGAATAATAAGATTGTTACCTTGACAGAATCCACAGGTCTTCTCACAATTCCTTCTGGCCCAATTATAGTATTGACCATTCACATCACAAATTGCAGTTGAATTATAAAGAGCACAGTTAGCACTTGGATTATCATTGCACGTAACAACTACAAATTCATTTTGTAATATAAAATTTATTAATCATCACCATTGGTGGCCCTGAAGCCACTTATTTATGCACAATTAAATTTAATTGAATAATAAACCTATTTCATTATTTTTTTTTAATTGAAAATTGTCCATCTCTAGCTTTGCACGCTTAGCATCTACATGTTTATAAGTAAAAATATGAATTTCATAGAAAGTTAACAATGTCTTAATATATATATATATTTTAATTAATTCTTTACATTTTTACACCATAATGAGGCCTAATAATATACAAATATATATACCAATCTTGAAATCTATATTTTGTATCAATCTTTAATGTTTAACTCTAAACTATAGATCTGTCTGATTGTGTACGTACCGTGGCAAAATCCACAAAATAAAGGACAGTGCTTCCTTGCCCAGAGGTAATAAGCACCGTGTAGATCACATATCACTGTGGCGTTGTAGAGAGAACAGTTAGCACTGGGGCTGTCATTGCAGGCTGTTCAAAGAATCAATGATAATTATGTGTGTAATGAAAGTATTAAAATTCCTGCATAAAGATATTCCATACCCATAGAATATCTTATGAATGCATATAGACAGATAGAATTGAAGAGAATGTTATTTCAGCTTTAATTTAAATACAACTACATAATGAAAAAGGTATCTTGTGACGGCAGTATTCTTTTGAGAATTTAAATGAATTGTTTTCTAACCGTTAACCAATTAATGGTAAATGAGGTTCTATTCAATTTATTCACTCAAAACCATGTAAATGGTACATGAGGTGCAAAAACACATAAAACATATATACATATAATACAGTTGGTCTAGCAGAAGATGATAACTAAGGAGAATAGACAATATTATTAATTTTAGAAATTACAAATGTACATATTTTTTTTCAAAGAATCAACATAATTTTGGCACATGACTTTACAAAGCTTGATAATATTTGGATCAGAGCAAAATTTTTTGTTCAAATAAACTTTCCTCAGATGAAAATTTAAAGCACTACATTCTAAGATATAATGATATTCATCTGTATCTGGTTACTACTGCATAAGCTTTACAAACTCTTTCATTTCTCTGATTATACCATTCCATATACCTGTTTCAGTTGGAAGGTGGTGATTTGCGGTTCTAAACATAACAAAAGTTTTTCTAAATTTAGGTAACAGTTTTAAATTTTTTTGCATCAAAATTGGTTTTATAATATATCATGTACAAATATCCAAAAAATATACATGTACAAATTAAATATATGGCGGAAATACATTCAATATGACGTAACAAAAATAATTATGAAGGACACATTTTTAATATAATTATATGTAAAGGTATACTGAAAGAAATTTATGAAACTTTCTCAGAATCTCTATTACATATTGCCATTGTGCAAATCCTATTTAATTGAATTTGATCCGACACTATTTTGGGTTTCCCGGTCACAACAAAACATGGACCTTGCCATTATGCATAATGAGGCGGGGGGTATCTTTATTGAAATATTGCGCACAGTACCTTAAAGATTTAATTAGAAAAATAATTCGTTTTAATATTTTTCATTTTTTAAATCAGTAAAAGGAATCCTTTTCCAAAAATTTTTGTTTTATAAAAATGCATTACCTGTTGGCGTTGTAAGAGCAGATAATGTTACAGTCAAGTCTGTAATGAAAATCCTACATATGGACAAGAGTTGGTCATTATAAACAAATATAAATAAGGCTGTAAATGTAAATGTGATTTGTTTAATTTAACTTTAATAAATATTGAAGATAAATTAGATATATTTCATGAAGTAAAAATATTAACATATTATTGGGGAAATACTGAAGGTTGTCTGAATGAATTTATCTTACTCTTACTTTGAGGTGATTGCAAGGATGTTGATGATGATGATGATGATGATTTAATTTTTAGATATGCAGGTATTATTTGCGGAGTCGTCCATGTTTTGTTGTGGTACAAAAACTCCATAAAATATATACATGAACAAATTAAATAGGAGGTATGCATATCTCTATTTGAAAAATGTCATATATACTCATTTATGACTGAAGTAGTAATAATTATCAAATTTATTTCATTATAAGATATTATACGGTTAAATGAAACATTCAAAGCGCAACTGGTGGGTGCAAGTTTTGACAAGCAAAATCCATGCACTATGTATACCTTCCCTGCTTTCAAACTGGTGTTGCAGTAAACCAGTAATGCGCGTTGCAAATGCGGTGGATCAGGAAAATATTCACTTTCGGACAAAAGATTTATGACATAAACAGAATCTACAGGAAAACAATTACTACACGTGGAATTACATTTAACAAAAATTATTTAGGAAGAATTTTTAAAAGGTATAAAAGCTTTTTGGTTATAATTAAGCCTCGCCGAAATATTAAAAGAAATTTTTTTTTTAACAAATTAATGAAAATCAACCTTGCCAATATACCATAAAAGGAAAGAGAAACGCAGGGTAAACTTTTGACTTAGAAAAATAATTCGTTTTTTCATCTTAAAAATACTTTTTAGTTTTCCTATCTAACTTTTAAATTATCTTTCAAAAAGATATAACCAAATTCTCATATGATTTTTGTCTAATTATCCATGAGTTATTGAAGCTCAATGACAATATAGGTAGATAAAAGTGAAATCGAAAACTCTCCTATTCTTCAATGTCTATCTCGTGCATCTTCATATATATTTCTCCTTTGCATGGAATTTCATCAGAGTGTTTATCTTTCAAACCCTGATTGCTAGGATTTAGCATGGGTAACGACGCGAAAAAAGATAAGTTGACGGCGCGCGCATGCGCCAGTTAGATGAATAAACAGTAAGTTGCATACTGGCTTAAAATTGCGAAATCAAATTCGCGGAAGTAGTAATAATTATTCAAATTTTGTATGAATGTAATGATTATAATACGTCTAAATGTAAATGACTGTTTTGTGGTGAAGCTAAGGTGGCATTTGTCAGTGTTGGCAGGACGAATAACCCGCACATAACATGGCTCTATTTTGAATAACGTCATCGTCATTGATCGAAAACCATTGCAGAATTCTCTGACAAAGGGTAACAAGTTTTATGAAAGGGAAAATTTCATCAGAAACTGCTTGTAAATCGTTGTTGTTTTTCATTAATTTGGCAATTAGAAAACAAGACCCCATTGAACTTTAAATATTTTGCCAAGATTGCAATAAATTCATAATCCTGATTGATATTGAAACACAAGTGCATAGACTACCTCATATGCATCAAATAATGCATCAAGATTTGTTCAGCATGGAACAAGTCGTTATCAAATTGCACGGTCTTGGGCTTTTTTGCAGTTGAATATAACGTGACCTCATAAATTCGGAATTGAGTAATTTTTCTGAATATGATTTTGATCTGCAAAGTACTGTTTTGTGGGAATTTCCGGAAGGTTCTGACCAATTTTCGTAATTTTCGGTCATGTGGTCAAATTTTTATCGAAAATGATCCTACAACTGCGTTTCTTTTTCCTTTCAGTAAACTTTAGGGTTACCTTTTTCATTAAAAATTGTAAATTACAGAAATGTTAAATGTGTTTTAGTTATTTAACTGTTGTAATAAATTCAAATGGAGATAAATTACGTTCTCACATATTCGTTATCAGATTACCAAATATTATACGTTTTTTACTGGCATTTGTCTACAAGCTCTCTAAACATGTCTGGTTACTCTGAGGCAATAAATGTTTTGAATGAAAATCCCTTATTTTAATTTTTTGATATGGATGTATTTTTTACGAGCTTCCTCTGATATTCAATTTTTCCTTTCAGTATATTTTTGCCACTATAGAATGTAAATTACAGAAATGTTAAACGTAACTGTGTAATACAAATTACGTTCTCGACAATTCATGCAGACTTGAATATAATGTGGGTGGCAATGTTTTTTGCAATGTTCTGTTCAAGTACCCGATATTCCTACCATATGCAAATACAAATGAAACTATACTGTGAGAGCCTGGCAATGTACCCCGCCTTTGTGGCAATGTGGGAAATCCAAAATATGTGTCGGATCGAAAAATAAAACAGGATGTGCACAATGGCAATATGTAATAAAGATTCTGTGAAAGTTTCATTAAATTTCCTTCGGTGGTATGAGAGGAGTTGTGGATAAGAGATGTGTACCCCAAAGCGTAACAGACGGAAGGACGTACAGACAGCTAGACTTACAGATGGACGGACGGACGTAACATACCGATTACTACGTTATTTACCCTCCCGCTTTTCAAGTGCACTGCGTGACGTACGCGGTTAAAGATCTCGTCGACAGGTCCAACATCTCATGTCTCGGTCAAACATCGATTTGATGACCATAATAATATAATCTCAGGAAAACATTGGGAATTTTGGCGATTGTCAAGAATAGATTTATATAGGAATAATGTTTAAAGGTATAACAATTGGGTTCCTTTAAAGTGAAGATCGTATATATAGATACAGATACCAGTGAATTTGGGGTAAATGTTTCATAGATACCGGTTGTTGTTCTCGTAACCGTGGATTTTGTACTTACTTTCGCAAGGCTTCGTTACATTCACTTTCACCTGAACGTTTGCCGTCCTTAATGACAGGGTTGTCTGTCATGGGATACTTTACAGGAAAAACGCCTTTCCCGGTCAACAGACCTTATTGAAAAACACCATAACTTTAATTTAGTTTAAGCTTATTTTGTATTTTCCAAAAGAATTGAAAAAGATTGACCATATGAAATTATTACTTACCAATCATTAACATACAGAAAACAATCATTTTTCCATGATTTTCAGTTTAAAACAAAGTGACTTTTATACGAGTACTAGTGTCTTAAATATTGGTTGCACACACCTGTGTTTATCATAAAGTTACATGTACCGTCAAAAAATGCGTGCATCTAGCCTTATCAGTTCTATACCTGATAGACTCGAAGACCGCTCAGACTAGGTAATTGGTTCATTGCATGATTGTGTACACAATATCATGAAAAACAAAAGCATTTTTAGTAGTTTTTAGGATCAACAAACATCCTTTAAAAAAAATTCATGTGAAAACCAGAAGTCTCTGATGAGACTAACTTAGTGTAGTCTGCTTGTGTGCCAAGTTATATTCAAATCAAACAAAAAATGTAGGAGGAGTAGCATTTTGAAAAATTGTTTACAAACAGAGGGACAGCTAGACAAACAGACGGACAACGGATGCACTACTATCACATAAGCTCCATTAGGCTAAAAATCAAGCTAACATCAAGCAATTGAAATCAATACATGGAAAAACCATGTATTGGGGAAAATATCTCAAAGAAGTTTACATCCATGCCCTCTGTTGACTTCCGCCTTGTACCCCTTTAATATTTTAGTGAAGGGAGAAATCCTTCGAAAATTCAGTGTGAATTTAATGATCTAACAATTTTCATGAATCAATTGACCTAACGTCAGATAATTTTTGCAAATAAAGGTCATTATATATCAACCATACAGGTAGATTTGACTTAAAACTAAATGTTGATACCCTTGCATAATCAACTTATTTTTAGTTGAATGTGCCATTTTACAAATTGTTTGTGAGTAGAACATGCTGTTTAGTACCAGATATATATAAGAATGACATTTCCTGTCTGAAAGAGTTAGAATTATTATTGAAACAATTTTAAGTGTACTTAAAGAAGGTTCAATTTTTGTTAATTTAAATTTTTTTCATTTAACAATCCTCAAAACAAGGCCTTTGCATAAATTAATAAACCGTGAAGCAGACATGCTTTAACCAATTATAATTCGACTGAGGAACATCGCAGAAAATATATCATCACTAATGTTTATTTGTCTAGTAGAATTATCAGCTTATATAGACTTTTAGTGTCTGTGTTGTCTAAACATTGATTTAGAATAGGCACAATATTTCTAAGTTTTAATTTGAGGGTGAAGTGAAAGTATATAGGTTGAACGCCTTGACAAAAGCCGCTGCTGGTCTTTGAGCATTGAACCTGGCTAAAAAAGAGAGTCCTTAGAGCAGCTGCTTATTTGTCTGTTATTAAATTTGCAACATTATTTTGGAGATATGTTTTGCATGAGATAGATGTAATATACTATTAAGTACATGTAAGTCATAAATACTGATATTTTCATTTACATCAAAACTTACCAATACCTTCATAAAAGAATGTAATTTTCATTCAATACAATAAAAAACTTAATCACAAAATAAGTTTTTTTTTATACCGGTATTATTTATTTATTCATCCTGGAAGGTTTAATACAAAACAAATGCCAACAGTAATTAATGCTCAAGTCAATAGGCATAAAGAAATTCATCAAAAATTAAACTAACTTTTTATTTTATAGATCTTTGAGTCATCCGTTTTAAACAATGCTTTCAACATTGAAAGGTCGACATTAGCTCTTAATTATTTTATATGAATTTTTTTGTATTTTTTCAAAGAAACCATTGTTTAAAAAGGTTGATTCAGGGATCTATAAAATAAAAAGTTGGTGTGGCATTCCTCCTTAAACTCATTAAATTTGCAACAAATAGCTTGATTTCTAAAAAAAAAAAAAAGGTCCTTTCCTGGCTCCAAGACCATTAACTGAGAACACACATGACAAAATCTTAATTTGCTTTATAGGAAACTTTAAAAAACATTTCTAATTTTTTTTTATGAAAAAAAAGGAAGTTAGCGAATATTCTGCTACAAACATGTGACGAAAAAGTTGTTTATTATTTTTGTACTTCTAACGCCTGCAGTTTTCATTTAATGGCTTTGATATCATAAGAAATTATTGTTTGAAAAGTGAAAAAATCTTATGTTTTAACCAAATTTTAAATCGTATATTTCCTGAAGTGTATGTAATGAATATACAATGTATCATTTAAAGAGTATCACTACTTCTTAATGCATGCATGTAATGACATTGTTTTGAATTTATGTGAAAATCAATAGATGTTATTTTCATTATCAACAAAATGAAAATAACTTAATGGTCTTCATAAATAGATTTTTAGTATATGATGATTTTGAAGAAAGCAGTCATACTATAACTCGTATGATAAAAACTGACAAATAAAAAAACAATAAAACAAGTACCAGATTGAGTTTACAATTTTTTTAAAAAACATACTTGCACTCGTATGTTGGTGGAAAATACAATGTACTTCATTAATCACTTTTCAGATTGGCTTATTTGACATACATCTGAGGAATAGAAGATAATTGGAAAAGAGAAGACTGAAACTAACTTAAATTAACAATTTTTATACCTGGTAGTAGCCGTTTATAAGAACATTCGTGATGTAAAGGTTATCTTAGTCAGGACTTATCATTCTTCAATCTTTCATTCATAATGTTCAAATGTTTTATCATGTAAATGATATTAATCATGTAAAAAATCATTCTTAATTTGTAATGTTATCAACTAGGACGAATAAAGAATACGATTTCATAGAAAAATTCATCATGGCACACACACTCACAAACTCAAGGCAACATTGCACTTGAGTTGCAAAGTCCACTTTTAACTCATTTCTCTGATAATGATGGATTGGTATAATTATAATGCACAGAAAAGTCAAAATGTAGAATTACTGAAATGTAATAAGATATTCTGGATAAGCTTGTGTATCATTAAAGATAACAAAAATGCCTGGATTGTTGGGATTATCTACAACAGAGTCATACAGAATGTGGCCACCACTGGGCTTATTCGGGGGGACTTTCATTCCGTTCCTCCCTTGGCAGTATTCTCCTGTTAATACTCGAGACCTATATACTCGTCTGTTTCCACTAATGTCAGGTGGACTATATGTTGAATTTGCAGAATAACTTGCATTCACAGCAAAATATACACCATTTCCATATGCAGTTGCTGCAAGATTAAGTATAAAGTTCAACATCAAAAATGGCAATTTACAATAAAATATTTAGCCAAAAAAAAATAACACCAAGCTGCTCAGCTTAGCACACTGCAAAGGAAAAAGAAATAGTAAAGTATTGGAAAGATTAATTAAATATTTGAAGTTATAACTATGGCATGCCAAATTCACAAAAATGAGCCTAACATAGTTTCACAGTTGATAAACTAGGTTTATTGGTTGTAAACTATAGTTTACGGACTGTAAACTATAGTTAACAACGTTAATCTATATTTTACATCTGTAAACCATTGTTAACGCGATAATCTATGTTTCACAACCGTAAACAATACTTAACACCCAAAACAATCATTTGCAATTGCAAAACATAGATTATCTGATAAATACAGTTTCACGATTTGTAAACTATAGTTAATGAACTAATAGATATAGTTTCACAATTTGTGAAACTATGATTAACAACTCTTAACTATAGTTTACGAGTTTACAAACGTGAATCTATGTTTATCAAAAAAATCTATTGTTAACGCTTATTTCAGACAGATAAACTTAGATTAGCATTCGTAAACTATAGTTAACAACTGTTAAATATAATTTTACAGATGAAAACTATACATGTACTTAACGAATCGTTAACTATAGCTTACTGTTTGTAAACTATAGTTTACAGTCGATAAACCTAGTTTATCAATTGTGAAACTAGGTTTAGCTCATTTTTGTGAATTTGGCATGCCATAGATAACAGACAACCCCAGAAAAAGTGCTCTTACCACTGCACCACATGGGTGACTATCCAGAAAATTAAAACCCCACAAACCAATATTCTTCCTTATACCTTGAAAATCTGACTCAACAAAATTGTATTTCTTTTTGTATTTTTAAATAGAGCTAGTATCAATGTTTTAGCCTGTGATTTTTGATACATGTACATCAATTTTACCATTCTTTCCACAGTAGCTCCTGTTAAAACCATAAGTATTGATACTGGCTACTGAATCATTGGCCGTCCCATGCCATAAAACCATCTCATTATTGTTTCCAGATGGATTTTGTTTCTCCATTAGTTTCAATTTTGCATCATACTGCTGCATCAACATCCTGTTTTGTATCCTTTCCACCTGAAAAGAAAATAAAATATTTCTATAATTCTATTCTATATATACTCTTTATACCATGCATTAATAAGGTTGGAATATTTTGAGCATTCCCAATCTCAATATTGTATTTCATCTACATCTACATGGTACGTTGGTCCGTCATCTTTGACGATTACTCAACGGCGCAGCGCTTTGACAACACTGTTAGAAAGATTAAAATGTAAAAACAGTTAAAAGGTAAAAGAAGGAAGTTTTCAGCTCTTCTGTCAGCAGCCAGTCCGGTAACCGTAGCGGCCCTGAGACTTACTAGTAGAGGTCTCCCCGGCATTGCCTACTGAATTCACTAGAGCTTACTTGCTCCCTGAGCCATCTAGAAGGAAAGTGATGAAAGCCCCTGCTTGAAGTGTACCAAGTCAGGGGCCTCAGCAACAGATGCTGGTCAAGTGTTCCAGGTTATGATAGTCCTGGGGAAGAAACTGAACTTATAGATGTTGGTTCTGCACTGATGATGCTGGAATCTGTAGGAATGGGTGGATCTGGTTCGACTTGATGATGGAGTGACATACTGAGATAGCGGGATATCTACCAGGCCTTTCCATGCCTTATAAAACATGGCGAGCTGTGCCTTGGTCCTACGGCTCTCTAAGGATTCCCACTGGAGACTGTCTAGCATGTCTGTAACACTGCTGGTATTCCTGTATCTATTTGTGACGTACCTAGCAGTTCTCCTCTGGACCATTTCAAGTCGGTGGATGTGATCCTTTGTGTGGGGATTCCATACTGAGGCACAGTACTCCAATGTGGGCCGAACTAGTGCCATATATGCCTCTGTCTTGGTCTTCTCATTGGTGATATTGAGGTTCCTACGTAAGAAGCCAAGAGTAGAGTTCGCCTTCTTAACTGTCTTATCAATATGGACCCTCCATGACAAGTTGGTAGTTATCCATACCCCTAAGTACTTGGTGGTCTCTACATTCTCCAACATCTGACCTTTCAGTGAGTAGCTGTAGAGCTGCGGGTTGCGGGATCTGGTGAACACCATGGTGTTACACTTATCTGGATGGAAATCCATTCCCCACGTTTTCTTCCACTCCTCTAGGTGGTGTACGTCTTGTTGGAGTTGTTCGCAGTCCTCCCGACTGTGTATCTGGCGATAAAGGACACAGTCATCAGCAAATAATCTCACATGGCTATTGACACAAGATGGCAGGTCATTGATGAAGATGAGGAAGAGCACAGGCCCAAGCACACTCCCTTGTGGGACTCCGCTGATGACAGGTGCGGGCTCTGATGTGGCTCCTTCCACCACCACTTGCTGGGATCTCCCGGTCAAGAAAGAGCGGATCCATACATGAGTGTTACCGCGGATTCCACTGTGGTGTAGCTTCATGAGAAGTCTCTCATGTGGGACGCGGTCAAAGGCCTTACTAAAGTCTAATACAACCATATCATGTTGGATACCTTTGTCCCCTGCTCTTGCCAGGTCATCAAATAATGTGAGTAGTTGGGTCTCACAGCTCCTTCGTGCCCGGAAGCCATGCTGCACATCTGATAATATGCTGTACCTATCCATGTGGTTCATGATGTTACTGACCAATATGTGCTCTAACAGCTTGCAGCATATGCATGTTAAGGAAACTGGCCGGTAATTTGAGGCCTTGAATCTCTCACCTTTTTTGAAAATAGCTGTTACATTGGCCTTTCTCCAGTCATTTGGTACGATGCCCTCAGACAAGCTTTTACAGAACAGTTGAGTGAGGAGTGGAGCAATCTCAGCTGACATGTCCTTCAGAACTCTGGCTGGTATAGAATCAGGTCCTGAGGCCTTGTTAGGATTGAGCTTCCTCAGTAGCTTGCAGACTCCTTCCTCTGAGATCTTAATGTCAGGCATTTGTGGGGATGGTGTACCATGAGGCATGGGGATATTCTGGGTATCCTCTCTAGTAAATACAGACTCGTACTGGTGATTCAGAATATCCGCCTTGTCTTTTGCCTCAGAATGTAGTACTCCTCTGTCCTTTAGTGGTGACACTCCATTGCTGTCCTTCCTCATGGCATTCACAAACCTCCAGAAGCGTTTTTGTTTATTTGGCTGCATATCAGACTCTGCGTTTGCCAACTATTTTTTAGAGATTTTATCAAATCTAGTAAAATACTGTGAAATAATCACTGTTTGTTGGGAACCAATATTTGTTGATGCCTTGGTAACCCTTATCCACAAATTTAAATTCCCATGAACAAACATATAGATTCAATGAATATGTCAGTTTAAGCGAATAAACCACAAAATTACATCCCCACAAACCAATAAAATTTTGTTTGCTCACAAACATTGACCCTCACAAATTAAAATGATTCCACAGTTTTTTTTTCTTAAAATTAACTTCTTTAGTAAAATAATGATGTATACCTTTATTATGTTTACAGCACCAGCTTGAGACTGGAAGTCCTTTACCACATCCTTGTATTCTTTACTACTAGGCTGCAGGGTTACTACTGCCACATTCTCTTTGTCCCCCATAGTTGTCCATGTCACTGGTTGCTCAAAATTAGACCCTTAATTAACAAAAAAAAATTATGACAAGAGATCAATAGGTTGTAATGGTAACCTGATTATCACTCCCTACAAAAGAGCCCATAGGCCACATTGCTCACCTGAGTACAATGGTTAGAAAAATCACACATCAGCTTAGTATTGAAAAGTTTATATGGAGGGGGGACGCTGGGATTTTTATATCCCCCTGAGGATGCTTGCATATCAATACAACAATTGGCTCTGCTGTTCTTGAGCAGATTGTAAAAGATTTTTTCCAATGAATTCCTTTTGTAAAAATTTGATCCCCATGTGGTCACTCCCTATCCCCATGAGTCATGATTTGAACAAACTTGAGTCTAAAATCCTTGAGGATGCTTTCAAAATGACTAATGATGGTTTTGCTGTTATTGACAGATTTTCCCCTATATATTTCAATGTAAAACTTTAATTTCCAATTGTGATCCCACCCTGCCTCCAGGGTTCATCATTTGAACAAACTTGAATCTACACTATGTAAAGAAGGTATCCTTTAAGTTTCAACTTGTTTGGCATGGTGATTCTTCTTGGGAAGATTTTTAATATATGCCATTAATGTTTCACAATTTATGAATTATCTCCCCTTGAATGAGCGTGTGGTTCCTCGTTTGAAAAATTAAATCCCTTTTACCTAAGAATGCTTTGTGGCAAGTTTGGTTGAAATTGGCCCACTGGTTCTGGAGAAGAAGTCGAAAATGCAAAAAGTTTACAGCTAGATGGATGTACAGGTTGACTACAGAATGTGCAAGCTGCTTTGAATCAAAAGATGTCATATAGGCCTATCTTACTTTCTACGAAGGATTAGCAAGATTTCAGAGGAAATAAATACATTTTTAAGACGGATTATTAATTCGTCTGTCTCTCTACAGCTCAATTCTACAAGAAATAGTTTTTCTTTACAACACTCTTTGTGAAGGGAATGAAAATCTCAAACGTTGCATCTTTTTATATTTCTATAAATATCACTTAGGAAAAAATATCAGTTTTCATCATCAAGGAATTAATGTCAGACAATTTTTTCACTGTTGAAAATATAATAAATGTAATCACCATCTATTTTTCAGCTTAGTTGAGCCTTTAAAAAGCTATAAAAGCTTACCACTAATTTTGTTCTTTCTGATGACTTTTACAATATCTGTTGGATCGCTTTCTGGATATTCCTCATAAGCTGCCAAATCAACAATGTATTTATTTCCTTGTGCATCTTTAAAGGATGCCTTAGCTTCCTGCTTTCTGAGGGCCTTCTCTAACTGCATATTAATGTCAGCAGGGTATGGTTCTAGTTTTTGGCCTGTATTTGTAATTTCAATGAAACACCATTCAACCATGCTTGCCATCATTTCAGCAGCTTGTTTCTCTTGTCTCACAGCATCTGCCTGGCGAAGTAATCTGTGAACTTTTTCAGAAGCTTCCATGATATCAGAAGTGAGACCTTGCAAAATAATCCTTCCAACTCGTTTCTCAACTGTCACATCAACATCAAGTTTCTCCTTTAGCTGCTGGATTTCTGATTCCTGCCAATAATATTTAAAGCAATATGAGCTGCAAATTTGATGTCGGAAATTTTTTGTTTCAAAACTATGAATAACTATTTCAATGACAGTTAAAAGAATATTTATAAACTTTTTGTACTCATATTTGCAATGGAATAACTATTTATTAGCTGTGATTGATGCAAAATTACATTATTGTTTACCTGTACAATATCGATTTCTTTAATAATCTTATTTATTATATGATTGAATAATTTCCATCTCTCTGATTGGCTGAGATCCAACTATGTTAGAAAAATACTACGTTGTATTGACCTGCACGTGACGTTCCAGGTCAATACAAGGATTTATTTCCTCTACATTGATCTAAAAATAGATCGGGAAATTCCAAATTGATACAAATTGTTTTGGAAATCTATCTAAACGACTATGACTTTTTTTCATGTGAACAAAACATATTATTAGCGAATATAAATTTTTGAGTTATGGTGGTAAGAGGGGATGCAGGGACATCCCTCCAACACTTTTACTGAACAACAATTTTTACTGTTTTCCCCGATAACAATTTTTACTGTTTTCCCTGATAATACTCCTTCCTTTGAAAATCTATACTATAAAAAAAAGACTGACATTATATTTTTTATTCATGGCAACTAAGATTGATTAAAAAAAAACTTAAAATTGATATGACTAGTAAGGTTTATTTACATTTTAATTCTGCTTCTCTCTTGTATTTGGCTAGGACTTAATTAAATGCAAACAAGTAATGAGCCATATCATTTTACCAATGAATCGTATAATAAAACAATTATTGCTGTTATACTTCGAAGTACGGTATTCACCTCGCCCTTTGGACTCGGTGAATACTGTACTCCTCAGATGGCTAAATCATTGTATTGACCTCAAAAAACAGCAATAATTGTATAATATTTAATTGTACAAAATTGAAGTCTTTCTTCTGGAACAGTTTAGAACTTTATTTTAGTCTTACTGGTCAAAAAGATTTAAATTACATAATATTTATCTTAATATCACATTTTAACAGCAAAATAATATTATCGAAAATGCATCTCATGTTGCTTTAAAGCCGCTTGGTCCGATTCTAATCGCTAAAAAATATATTCGTTTTTCTCCTTGAAAAATAATTGTCCATAATTTATTTCAACTTTTGTCGAATTATATCTCCAAAGTCTTTTTCTTTTTAAAGATATCAAAATTCAAAAGTTTAAAAAATAATTTTTGTTAGGTCACACAAAAAAATAATCCTTTGTTTACATTGCGTGAAATCACCTTCGAAAAATTAAATTTATCGCTTACATGTATAACTCATGAAGAACAAACCCGAGCATTTTTTCCACAACAAAGTGTACACGGGCAATATTCTAGCCCTCGTTACTAAACTCCCTTTTTAAAAAATCTTTAAAAAATATATGATTTTCCTTTATTCTGTAAATATGCATATTAGTATAAAAATTACTATGGATTAAATTCAGTTAATTTCTTAATTTTTAAAAGATATATCATGACTTAAGATTCTACTAATGGAAAAAAATACTCGGGTTTGAATTCTCTTCATAATTAGATATAACCGATAAAAGTATATTTTTCAAAGGTGCAGACTTCAAAACAGATCTTAACTTCCCGTCAGGAACTGCTGTTTGTCAACAAGGTTTTTGGTCTATGTTTTCCATGTAAGGATTGTTGTAATAAACTATTAAATCAATCTTATAATTAATTTTTATATATTATCTATGTAATGACGTACTTTTATTGTTTAAGATAATATGTGCCTGTTTCAGATGAAGCGGCTTTAATCAAATACATTTTTTGTGGTGGAAGCATGTATGTAATCATTGGCAATGTTTGCATTTGTTTAATTTTTCCAGGAATTGCCCTGCTTCTAAATTAAGCAAAAACGTTATGACTTGATTTATGGTAGTAGAAAGACAGACCGATAAAATTTAAGCAATTTATGTAATTTATATACTGTAGACGTACTTTTTTCCACGGGGTCATAATTCCGTGGAATCTCAATTTCTGTTTGATCCGCAGGTAGAAAATTACGCGGATTTTCTAGACTGTCACTATAAGTCTTACATTTATATCAAGTACGCTTGGACAAATTTCCGCGGAAAATTTGTGACCGTGTACATAGCGTAAATTAATACCACACGGAAAAAAGTACTTCTACAGTATTAATTTACTCATATGGTTTGGAAGCAAGCCATTAACAAACCTGCTGGGGTGTGAATTCTTTCACCACTGAGTCACTAAAAAATTTCTTTGTAATACAGGAGTCAATGCCTCTTTCAACCATATCTATTGCTTGATCTATTCTTTCTTGGGAATCTGCATAAATCACCAAAGTTACAGAACTCTTATCTAGAGGCATTCTTTGAGTTTTGCGAGCTCCTTCCCACATATTGCTTTCTTGCTTACCTGCAGGAAAAAATGAAAAAAAAAAGTCCAGTGACATTAATTTGCAATACTTATACTGCAAACATTTACATTCTGCGGATATGGTTACATTGGTGTTGATGAATGACTAATAAATGTCAAGTACATATCTGTGTTTCACATGCAACTTTCTTGTCCTGTTAAAGAGCACTAGTAGAATATCAATGTTTCCACTAGTCGTACTTCTAAAATGTGAAAGTTGTCAACTTTTCAACATTTAAAAATATATTCACCTTTATATTCACTGAAAAAAATTTAACTTTGACTGGAAAGAAATTTGTTATTTGCATGCAAAAGTTCTTACTTTCTTTTAAAGGTTTATTTTTCAGAAATATATGTACGGTACACATATTTTTATAGTAAAATAATTATGGACCAAGTATCCAACAAGCTGCTGTTTTTCCTCAAAGTATTCCAAGTTCTGACTTACCAAAACCAAACATCTTTGTCATTTTCTTGAAGAATCCACCATCTTTAGGTTTGTAGTTCTCACAGCAAGTTTTAAAGGACTCCAAAAATGCCCTTATAAGTTTGGACTCAAATATCACAATATGAACTTCTTTCAAATTTTTGATTTTTTCTTGTCCTTCTTTCAAGGCCTCAAAAAAGTATTTGGCAAGATTTTCAGCCTTTACTCCAAAAGCTATTTTAAATTTAAAAAAAAAGACATATATAACATAAGTATTTTAATTAAGGCATAGCCCATATAAACAGAAAATTGAAACCTGCAAGTTTATAATTATAAATGAAACAACATCATTGTAAAAAATCATTGTATCATATGGAATATATAGTATATTTTCATTTTTAATTAATTCATAGGGCTTGGTAAATTATTAATTGAATTAGTATTATGAGAATCATTTTTACCCAATGGTAGCCAATTTTTGTAGATTTATTATATTTTTGATTAAAGAACAAGGGCGCTTTTGATTGGCATTCGGCAGGAACCTGGGCATAATTAAAAAGTGAAAATCTTATTGACATGTCACATGAAATTTTAACATTTTTTTAATTTATCGGGTTCCTGTGCAACAGGAACGGAAAATATTTTCCTGAAATTGAGCTTTGATTTGCTAAAAAATAACTTGAAAATTGGCCATATCAGATATTTGGTACAAAATTGTACATTTTGAAACACATTTTTCTAAATATTTTCTATGTCTGGGTCTTCTCTCCATGATTTTGAAACGTTATTTGTGTGTATTTTAATTCAAAGAAACGATTACACTTTTTTAAAAAATGGAGAGAAGACCCAGAGACCACGAAAAAAACTTTTCCCCAAAAAACCAAATGTGTCGATGTGGTGCATCTTTGTCCTTTTAAAGACATTTGTACATGTGTAGCGGTGATAGCTCAGAAAGTTAGGCTACCTGTTCGGTGCACTCGAAGCGAAAAGTTTTTGGTTCGAGCCTGGCATGGGGCGTTAATTTTTTTTCATTCAGGCAAGCAACCATTTATTTTGTCAGTTTCATTTTATGTACGTATGTATTAAAATTTTGAATTAGATAAATTTTGGTTCAGTTTGGTTCTCAAGCGAAATCAATTCTATTCTATTTTATAATGTACAGAGTGTACATGTACAGGTATGCATCTATGCATTAAATATATTTTAGGTTTTATTTTTTGTGAAATATTACTATGTTATAGTACCCCCTAGAAAGAAATGGACATAAATGTTACAATTTCACAATGTCTTTCAAACTAAATGAAAAAAAAACCATGGATGTGTTTGTAAAATCTGACCAGGTATGTTCAGCCAACCAAATCATGGACATTTAAACCGTTAATGTTTCGTACAAATGATTCCTGCAGATCACCCGCCAAATGCGCCCATCTTCTTTACAAGTTATAAGGAAATGTACATGATATTGGTAAACATCTTATTTTATGACGATTGTACAGTTACTTGGCCAGTTCCGAATAAGAAACCGATTCGACGGTGCTGCAAATATACTAGGAATTATTTCAAAATCTAAGTGTTTTGTCAAGGTAGTTCGATGACTTGTGGAATTAAATATTGTTTCATAAAAGTTCAGCCTTCCCTCAAAAAAATTTATTTCGCAAGTTACCATAGGTGTCCATTTTACCAGTTACGAATAAGCCGACGGGTTCCGGATACCCTAGAGATTCTTATTCAATTCAACCCTAAATTAAAAAATATACGTCCCAGACGTTATCCATTGGCATGCCTAAGAAAAGTTAAATTAATTGCTTACCAATAAATTATTTGTATTTCCAAAGGTTGAAGAGAAACTAGAGGTATACTGTGGGCACTGAGCTCATTTTAATGATACCCCACGCCTCCTTTATGATTATTTAAGTTAAAGTCCATGTTTTACTCTGGGAGACCCGAAATAAATGTCAGATCAAAAAGTAAAATAATAAGTCACAATGTCACAATGCAATAAAGAATATGTGAAAGTATCATTAAATCTTATTCAGTGGTATAGGAGGAATTGCGGACAAGAGATGGATATACCTTTCAATATTACAAAGAATGGCAGTATCTATGTTTTTCTCAGGGAGCCCAAATTATGTACCAGATCCAAAATTTATAAAGGTGCACTTTGGCACTGATAAACAAAGATTCTGTGAAAGACTCATTAAATTCTGTGAAGCCTCATTAAACTTCATTCAGTGGTAGAAGAGGGGTTGCGGATAAGAAATAGATACCCCAGAGCATATCAGACGGACGTACAGACGGACGGACGGACAAACATCCCATTACTATATGCCGCTTCTTCCTGTTTTTCAAGCGGGGGTAGAATAAGTCACGTTTATAATGAAGAAAAGATCGAAGAGTGAATTTATAATAATGTTTAAAATGGGTATTCGGAACCGGTAAAATAAGAGCACGAAAATATTTCGATATCTTCCAGTGTTCTAAATATTTATTTTTGACATGTTTTTAGTATATGTTAGAGTACATATCAAACTTACTTTTGATACCTAGAACGTTGTTTTATGTGAAAAATGTATGCATCTACAGAGGTTTTTCTGCATATTTACGCGTCGAGGTGATTCAGATTTGTTGCATTGTAAAAGTGTGTCGACTGTTTCAAGTACGATAACGAAACCAAACTGAGGGCAAAAAATCAAAACTTCACATAATTCAAACACTCATGAATAAGCCTTCTTACCATAGAAATCAATTTATTTTTACACCGTTGAATTTATTAATTATCAGTCCTTAAATTACTAATTATTCGGAACTGGCCAAAATCCGGAACTGGCCAAACGACTGTACTAATTAATGCATGTATACTCTCTTTCACTAAAAACACATTTCTTTTGTTCTTAAATAATATTTTGGGTTGTTTTTCAATAATAAAGGCAGTGGCACATTGAATAGTTTGACTGATTTAAATGATATATATAGTACCTTAAATTAAACTAAAAAGACCTAGTTGTATATTAAAATTTCTGAGCTAAAACTGCTAAATAAAGGATACAGGTAATACCTAGCTGTGTCAAACATGAGCTGCATGCAAGTAGATTCTTTTAAAGAAGTTACTATTCAAGAAAAAATTCTTCACAGTATAATTATTACATGTACCTTGTCCCAAAGTAGGAAAAGCAATTGACTTGCATCCAGGTATTTCATCTGCTCTTTCAATTGTTTTTGAAATTTTATGCTCCCAAGATTCTTTGGTATTTTCAGCATCAAGATGTAGGATATAATTACATGAAAGACGACTTTTGATCCCTGATGTTGTCACAGCTATTCCATCTTCCTTCAAGCTTTTTGCTAAGTTGAAATAGAATTTTTTTCTAAAATCAGTAACTGATCTTTTAACTATATGGTAAATAAAACAAACACTGTGAGAGTATCGCATAATTATAGTAATAATAGTTTCCTTCTGGCAAGTGTAATTATCTGGTTCCCTATATAAATGCATAATTTTGTGAAAAAATCATTGAAGCAGAACAAAATACAAACTTCAATTATAACTCATGAATGTAAACTCAGATACCAACTATGCTACAATAACACTGACCATCAAAATACCTTACACAAAAGAACTACTGCAAAATCACATATCTTCGTGAGGGCAAATTTTTTAGGGTTGAGAAAAAAATTATTGATATGTGGAAATTTGTTTTTGTTGTTTAATTAACAAGTGTTGATTAATAATGCTTATTAAATTCATTTTATGGTTGTCATGAATTTGTGGGTCTCCCCATACCTTGAAAATAAAAAAATTAAACCTCCACAAAAATTAGTGATTTCAAAGTATGCTGTTTGACTAAGGACTGGAGTTTTCAAAGTTATTCCTACAGATGTTTATTTGTATACAGTGGACCCTCAGATATCCAGATGCCAGATATCTGGATGCTTCAGTATCCCAACAATTTTTCATTGGAATGGATTTTTTTAATGTTGTTTTGTTCTGATTAACTAGTAATTCAGGTATCCGGGTGCTTCAATTTTCCGGACAAATTGACTAGGAACCAGAGCGTCCGGATAAACGAGGCTCCACTGTAGATAAAGCTTCGTTTTATTTTTGTTGCTTTATTCAGCATTTGTACATGTATTATCTTAAAAGCGGCTGATTGAGAGTAAATACTATATTTTTACATGTAACTTTCAGGCGCGGATCCAGAAATTTTTCCCCAGGGGGGGTCCACCCCTGTCAAAAAAAAAAAAATTACAACTCAGAAATTTCTTGACAAGCAAAAAAAAAAAAAAAAAAACCAAAAGTAGTCAAAAGTTCCAAATCGTATTTCGTGGGGGGAGGGGGGGGGGTTATAAATATAAATTTATAAACCTGGAAATTCATGGGGGGTCCTGACCCCCCGACCCCCTGACCCCCCCCCCCCCCCCCTCTAGATCCGTGCATGACTTTAATGGGGTCAACACTTTCCTGCCTTGAACAGCCTGACAATACTCAGCTATTACTCTTTGAGCAATAAGTTTGGCTAAAAATCAGCTCGATATCTGCAAGTGTTTAGTAAAAACAATATGGACAATCCTTTAAAATTTGAAAGGCCATAATTCCATCAAAATTCAATAACAAGGAACAAAATGCAAACTTGATCTGTACATGCATAACTTATGTCATACACCACTATACCAAAAATCAGCTCAATATCTGCATGCAAGTGTTTAAAAAAAAGTGTGGAAGACCAAGTTGGATAAATTAACTGACAGCTATAACTAGGAGGAAACATGTAGTCCCCTCCAGTTTCACCAACCTCATCAATTTCTATTTTTTTTCCTAATCATCAGGCCCTACTCTACATGTACAACCAGTGCTTTGTCATGATTTTAACAAACTTGAATCTATACATGACCTGAGGATGCTTCTGTATTAAAATAAATAATTATGACTTTGATGGTCATACACTAGTGTAAGAAGAAGAATTTTACGGATACTCGCTTCATGTATATTCTTGCATATAACTTGTTCTCCTTTTGTGACCCCATCCTATCCTTAAGGTTACACCTAAAAATGTACACTATGTAATGATTGATTCACATAAGTTTCATTTTTTTCTGTTACAGCTGTTCTTGAGAAGATGCCATTTAATATATTAACCATTTCATAATTATATCTCCATTTGTGGGTGTGCATGGTTTCAGAAGAAAACTCTCTTGAGCCTTCATATGGTTCATATGAGCTAAAAAAGGACACACTCAGAAAATTAAAAAACACACAAAATGTGATTTATATTCATAAACAAACTGGTATCATCTAAACTTTTTTCTCAGAAGTCTTTGCCATATCGGGGTAATTAGCATGTGTAGGAAGATAAAGATATGCAATTCATCAATTGATTAATAACACTTATGCAGTATGTGCACTAAATATGATAAATTATTTTATAATATCATTGCAAAAATATCCATAAAAATATTGATACTTACTATTTAGAGCTATTTGTGTTTTCAGGTCATCACCTCCAAGTTTCAAAAGCAGTTTTGATACTATTCCTGTATCACACAAAAAAAGAAAACCTTTAATTTCTCTTACCTGAATATAAAATTATGGAAATTTGTCAATACACAGAATTTAGCTCAATTGATCTTAATTTACTATAAAATACAAATGACAGTCAACTACTAATACATGGATTAAATTATAACAAATGTCATTTATTTCAGAGGGTACATTTATAAAATAACAGCTTGGACAAAAAATATTGTTTTATATAATGATCAATTTATATTGCAAAACAGTTTCTCATGATTATAAGCAAAAACAAGAGGCCTAAGGGCCTTATAGGTCACCTGAGTATTATGTTACAACTTTCGAACAATTGAATTTGGTTTGGCACCCCACCCCACAGGAACAACTGACCCTTGGGCCACTTATTTCAAAATTTTGGAAATATTATCATAAATTTTATTTTATTATATATGGTTGATTCATACCAAAGATCAGATTTCAAAGCATTATTTTATTTTCAGACTATGTTCCCCCCCCCTACACCAAATGGCAAAACCCCTGGCACAGGGGCCATGAAATTCACAAATTTGGTTGAGGCACTCTTGCTCATTATAACTATATACTAAGTTAGTCTATTTAATGCCCTGTTCACACGGAGAGTTTAATTCGAATTAAACGTAAAGTAACTGCGAATTACATGAAGCTTCGCTTAGTGTTCACACGGAGAATTTAATGCGAATTAGTTTAATTCGAATTAGTTTACTGTGCACTAAATTACTTCACATTAGCTCCGTGTGAACGCCAAGCGAAGCTAATTCGAATTAAATTTCCAGGCATGCGTAATGGCAAAATTAGGTCAAATGCCACATGTCCATGGTCAGCTTGAAGTATTTGTGCTATTTTTGAGTGAAAAACTACGGAAATTTGTGTTAATCATTTAATGTGTGTACAGACACTGTAACATTATGTCAAATGCATCTGCTTCTGCATAAGGTGACGTGATTTGCAAATGACGTCATAATAGCCTCACTGACGCCTGGCTGTAGAAGTAGAATTTAATTCACATTAGTTTACTTTGCATTAATTTACTGCGAATTAAACTTGTCGTGTGAACAGGGCATTATACCCAGAAGCAGAGAAGATTTTCAAAGAATAAATGCATTTTCACTACATAATCAATAGAGCCCTACCCTAACACCAGAACCCCTGACCCTGGGTCCATAAAATTCACAATTTTGAAAGAGACACTCTTGCTCATCATAACTAAGTACTTTGTTAGTTTATTTAATATCCAGGAGCAGAGAAGAAGATTTTCAAAGAAATAATGCATTTTCACTATATACTGTAAATGTATTATACATGTATTTAGCATGTACGATATTTGACAGAAATGGATTTTTTAACGAATAAGCGTAAATTTGATTTAGCGCATTTCTCAATTTTCGTATTTATGTATATATATATATATGTGCAAGACATTTAGCGTTGTACTTGAATTAGGGGAAGTTCCTTTCTGCCAAAAGTGCTAAAAAGAATATACACAGCCAAATGTAATATGTTTACAGTAATCTATATAGCCCCGCCCTAGCACTAGAACCCCTGTTTCTGGGGCCATGAATTTCATGGGTCAGGACCATTAATGCCCTGTTCACACGGAGAGTTTAATTCGAATTAAATGTAAAGTAACTGCGAATTACATGAAGCTTCGCTTAGTGTTCACACGGAGAATTTAATGCGAATTAGTTTAGTTCGAATTAGTTTACTGCGCACTAAATTACTTCACATTAGCTCCGTGTGAACGCCAAGCGAAGCTAATTCGAATTAAATTCCCAGGCATGCGTAATGGCAAAATTAGGTCAAATGCCACATGTCCATGGTCAGCTTGAAGTATTTGTGCTATTTTTGAGTGAAAAACTACGGAAATTTGTGTTAATCATTTAATGTGTGTACAGACACTGTAACATTATGTCAAATGCATCTGCTTCTGCATAAGGTGACGTGATTTGCAAATGACGTCATAATAGCCTCACTGACGCCTGGCTGTAGAAGTAGAATTTAATTCACATTAGTTTACTTTGCATTAATTTACTGCGAATTAAACTTGTCGTGTGAACAGGGCATTATACCCAGAAGCAGAGAAGATTTTCAAAGAATAAATGCATTTTCACTACATAATCAATAGAGCCCCACCCTAACACCAGAACCCCTGACCCTGAGTCCATAAAATTCACAATTTTGAAAGAGACACTCTTGCTCATCATAACTAAGTACTTTGTTAGTTTATTTAATATCCAGGAGCAGAGAAGAAGATTTTCAAAGAAATAATGCATTTTCACTATATACTGTAAATGTATTATACATGTATTTAGCATGTACGATATTTGACAGAAATGGATTTTTTAACGAATAAGCGTAAATTTGATTTAGCGCATTTCTCAATTTTCGTATTTATGTATATATATATATATGTGCAAGACATTTAGCGTTGTACTTGAATTAGGGGAAGTTCCTTTCTGCCAAAAGTGCTAAAAAGAATATACACAGCCAAATGTAATATGTTTACAGTAATCTATATAGCCCCTCCCTAGCACTAGAACCCCTGTTTCTGGGGCCATGAATTTCATGGGTCAGGACCATTAAATTCACAATTTCTGTTCCCCTTTACCCATAGATGCTGTATACCAAATTTGGTGGTAGGAATTGGTTCAGTGGTTCCAGAGAAGAAGATAAAATGTTCAAAAGTTTACGACCAACGTTTACGTATGACGACTGACGAAAAGAGATAGCAATAGGTCACCTGAGTTTACTCAGGTGACCTTAAAAAAAACTCACCCCTTGTCAGATCAAAGTCAGAGTTTGTACTATTAACAATGGCATCCACATTAGCTTTAGTGATATCACCCTGATAAACTTTTAGCTGAAGATTTCCAATATCTAAGGCAAACTCCTCCGAGTCAGATAATTCACTCGGGGAATTATTTCCATTTCCTCCGGCTTCAAATGATCCTCCTCCTCCTAAAGTTAATGTAAATTAAATTAAATCTCCCATTAATTTTCCACGTCCCACAGTGGGATTCAACCTGTGACATAAGGATAAACTCATTACCCCGCCACTCTAGAGCAGATGCTCAAACCACTTCGCCATGCAGGTAACTTTTCAAGATCAAAGTGTTATTCAGTTTAATTTAATTAAATCATTCAGCTGATGTTTAATTTCATTGTGTTTGATAGGTAACAGTAATGTATAAAGCATGGCTTTCAACTTTAAGGAAAAAGATCCACTTTTATCGATAAGAGTTACTGTACATATGAAGTTATGTATAGGCAGTTTAGGCACAGTGTACTTTTCAAATATGTCTCTGTTTTACAAATAAATGTAAATACAATGTACTTAAATTAATTTGAATCTAAATAACCCTGAGACCCCTTATCCAATAAAAAGACAACTTTTAATTTGTGATAGAATTTTTATTAAAGAAAATCATATATGTTTACAGCAGTGAATTTATAATTTCCTATAAATAATGATTTTGTAATAAGTGATGCCAGAACTTATTAATGCAATATAGAGATGTTTATGATGAATTATAAATGAATAAAAATTATTGCATTTTAAAGCAGTATCTATCACAAGCAAACACAGGTAAAATATTTCCTAAAAATATAGGAATGCCAATAAAATATTAACAAAATGAAAGCATACTGGTCAGAAAACATAACTTTTGTTTAAAAGCTCTCAAAAATATTAAAATATCTCTGTAATTAAATATCACAGAAGTGCCATGGGGTTTTCATCTAGCTATTAAACTAAGAAAAAAAAAATAAAATGATCTGCCCAATAACAGCTGAAAAAAAAGTCAGCAGGATTTTTTTCCTATTATAGTAAAACAGGCATATACCGGTATATGCATGTAGTGAACATGCCTACTATTACTTGAGGCAAATGCAATGATGGATTTAGGGGCTCCTCTCCCTTTTCTTAAATTTTACCCAAAAAAATATTTGCTTAAGAAATATATCTCAAGTTTATAAAGAGATACAATGTAAAAAGCAGGACTGATGCATTTTAATACATTTCTAACTTATACTTTAAATACACATAAAAAAAATGGTAATGTTCATGTACTTTTATCTTTATCATGTATTCTTTTTCCTTGTCAAAAACTTTTTTTCTGCCTGAAAATGCCACATTTTGTTTTTATAATTATAGACTCTTAAATGTACATGATGTATGTGAATACAACCTGCCCAGTTGACAACCACAATCATCAAAGGAATATGTAATACTATTCAAATGCATTAAGCATATAGAGAGAAAAAAATCTGACAAAATTACAATATTTCATATAAGTAAATTCTCCTGTTAAAAGAATAAATAGAATGTTAAATCATAACCCCAAGAAATAGGATTTTTGTGTTTGGACAAAGGCCATATTTCCCTTTTTTTCTTGCTTGTCAGGTTTTTTTTTAGGTCTAAAATAATTTTCTCTTACATTTTCAATTTGCTTCCGACACCAATTCATTTATGTGACAATGAATCAATGTACTCGTGGTGTCACTTTTACTGAAATGCAATTTTTGTCAAAATTGAAAACAAGTACATGTAAAAACTTTTAAATACATTGAATTACAAGAAATCATAGACTTGCAAGTGTAAAAGTAGAAATTTTTTGCATGGGGTATTTAAAATTATGCAATCAGAGGAACTTTGAAAAATCTGTGAAGATATCATTATATATTAAAGATATTTCAACATGTTCAAACTAAATATGATCACACAGTTTTTATCATTTTTCCAACCACAAAAAATTATTCCTACACACAACTCATGGTAAATAATCCCAAAAATATAATAATGGCAAAAAATATATGGCACTTTTTTGAATCAAGTACAGCCTGTAATGGGCAGTTTAATCATTCTTGTAGGTGCACTTCAAAGCAGCTGAGTGCAATAATTCAAATACATTTAATAGAACATTGTATCTAAGTTTCCACTTTGACAATTTGAACATAGTCTCAGCGTGGGGTTATCACTCGGAAAATTACAGCAGTTTTGACAGACTTCAATATCGTACTCCTTCTCGCGAAGTTGTTTAACACGAGTAGGACTAGAAGGAAACATCTGGCATAACTCATTATCGAGACAGTCTCTCAAAAATGACCGCATCTTTCGCGAATCCCAGTAACATTTTGATGGATCCTTGCCAAGAGCTAAAGCAAACATGGCCGCTACAGCGAACAGGCCACAGTCAGACTTGTTTTCCTGCCTCTGATAGACTGGCATTAGTACCTTTATTGTACTCTGACTGGCTGGTACTAGGGCAACAATACAACTTCTTGTGTCTGGATTTAACTTTCTGTAGCAGCTGTCAAAGACCCTAACATGATGGTGGTCCCATCCAATATTTGACAACAGAATCCAGTGGTTGCCTTGCGTGTTGATGATTTGCAGGAATTTCCCCGACTGCTTCTTCAATCCATGCTGACCCACAACTGATGCTACACAGGTCTCCTGTAAACCTCTAATATCAGGAAAGTTTCTCTTAACTATACTCATAGCCGTGTCCATAACTCTATCTTCAAGCCAGTCATCTGATGCAATCTTAAAGCTTCTAGGTGATGATGAAGATTTGTGTAATGGTGGTCTCTGTGGTGCTTTTTTGGGCATGACAGGAACAGACTCTGACCTTTTAAACTGGTGCTTCATTCCAGAGTAAGGATTTTGGTTTCTATCTCTAAAGATCTCATTAGTTATATCACTTGATGGTATTTCTCTTGGCTCCTCAATCTTATACTCATTCATATTTCTTCTTCGGTAATCCTTCTCCTGTGCCATTTGATATGCTTGTTGCATTGTATACGGTGGCATAACAGGGTTTCGTAAAGGGTTCCTTGGTTGCATGTCGACATTAGGGTAACCAAGACCCTGATGTGCCATTCCAAAATAAGGTGACCTTTGCTGATTCTCTGTATCAAGTTTCTTCTGATATGAATCTAAATCATCCTCATCTATAACTTCATCCCTCAGGCTGTATGGTACGTATGAAGGAGTCTTTGCTTTTAACTTTTTTTTCTTATGAAGCTTTCGTTTTCGGTGAAGTTCACGCCGCTGTAGCCCTCCAAAATAAGACCGGTTTGATTCCTCCTCACTTAGATCTTCAGAGTCAGATCTTGTTGGTACTTCAGAGGATAATGGATCTTGTTCATCCTCATCTGATTCACTCCCTTCATCCATGAAATCTGATAAAGGTAAAGACATTTGCCCAATTAGTTAGAACAGTAAACAATTTTAAAGAGCCTACCATTTTCTTCTAACTGAGCACACATCTTCAACTTTATCAGAATAAATGGAACATTGAGGTATATAAAGGATTTGTTGTACTTACCCCTGACTTTGGAGGGTGACTGATACTGAGAATTGCTGCCAAACTGTCGTCCATGGCGACCACTTCCACCACCCTGCCGCTTCTCTTCTCTCTCAAAAGCCTGGAATTAAATAGTGGAACAGAATATTAAAAATCTGTTTTTAGATCACCATCAGGTAATAATCCAATAATAGATAAATAAGCAGAAAATCTGAATTCATACTGATTAAAATGACCCACTGTGAAATCACAAATTTTCGTGGTTGTTTAATTTTTGTTGTTTTCAAGGTATCAAGAGACCCACGAATTTATGACCACCATGAATTGTAAAATTTTACATGCATAACTACTCAACAATTATTCATCGATGAAATCAAATCCTCAGGAACCAAAAATTTTTCTCAAACCACAAAAATTTGACCACACGAAAACATGTGATTCTACGTATATGGTATTAATAAATGTTATCGTACATACATTTGAATACATCATTTATATAACTAAGTACTCATTAAAACAACAATTATTGAAACATATTGACATAATTAGAAATCATTTAGTTTTGCTTAATGAGTAATAATCATCCCTTTTTTATTGCAGATCAAAATATCATATCTGTATATACAGTTCTTGTTACATTAATGTCAGTTAGAGAACTCCAAGAAAATTTGCAAGTTATTTCAAAAGAGAAATTCATTCTGCAAGATCTTCATAATTCAATAATGACAATAAGACCTATCTTAATCAAATATCAAAGCTGTGACAGCTACACAATGAGAAATGCAGGCATAAAAATATACCTTGACAGTTTCTGTGTCCTTATCATATAATACAAATCGAACATCAGAAATTGTAGTGGAGGGGTTATTGGATCCAAAGTTATGGACAGCATCAAACATCTCCTTGGCAACTGTGTCTCTGGGGTATCCTAGGTTCCCAGTTCCCATGGCAGGAAATGCTACTGATGAAAGCCTGTTACTGTCTACATGGTTCAAGCATTTCTCCAAAAATGTTCTTAAAATCTGCAGAATATCCAGACATGTTTCTTTTACATTCAAATATCATTACTGAAATAATTTCAAAAGATCATACATTGCATACTGTAATGCATATGATACTAACATTGTTACCAAAATACTTTTACCATCATTATTCTGTATGTACACTGTATTAACCATTATCATATGCAGAAAAGAACCAACACATATTCCTGACATATGGATTGACTGGTCAATATACCTTTAATGCCTGTCCTTTTTGATCCCAGCCAGGCAGTGACCCGTGACAGATGAACTGACAACTAAGGTTACCACCAGATGTCACTGCTATGTTGCCATGCTGAATGCCCCCTGGGTAGTTCTGGTCACATTCCTGCTGTATCCCTGGTCCTGCTGCTTTTAGAAGGGAGGCAGACACAGCACCATTTCCTAACTTCAGATCCTTGGAGGTTGTGTTCACGATCACATCTACCTAGATAATAAAGTGACCAAAAAATTCCTGTAAACGACTAAATAACAACTGTTTTTATGTTCATATTTGGTCGTGGAAATTTATGTGAAAATTATGACATTAATTACATTGTCAGATAAGAAAAATGTAAGACAATACAGTTACAATAACCCAATTAAAATTAGATCATGTGTAATTTTCAATTTATCCATACCGTCTGTTTGGCAATTTGTCCAGTGATGACACGAACAGTGATATTACCAGCTTCAACAGGGGAGGGCTTGAAAGACTTCCTCTCTGCAGAATCATTAATATCTTTTCATTAAAGCTATCTTTTTAGCAAGTATAATAAGCAAGTATTAATTCTAAATTAATTTTAATTATTACTATGTGTATATGTATACATGAATATTTACAAAATTCATACGAGTGCCAAAAGTATTTCATTCATTAATATGTTAAGAGGATACAACTTTTACCGAGTATTTTAGATTCTATAAATCCCATACCTGCAGGGACAGGACCAGAAGATGTCTTCCATTTACTGCTACTCCCTGAAGGTCTGCTCTCTGGGGATTTAACTTTTACATCTTTTAACTCCTTCTTCATGGCCCGCACAAATCCTTCCACAGTGTCCTGACTCACATCACACAAATATACAGCTTCTACGGGAGAGCTGGAATTCTCCAAAAAGAAATCTCTCACTGCCACAACAATCACTCGAGTGGCCTCTCGCATAGGATACCCAAACACACCAGTGCACAGAGCTGGAAATGCAATGGAGGTGAATCTGTTCTCGGATGTGGCCTCCAAACTTTTGAACACAGCCTCGCGTAGGTATTCTTCCTCCTGATTGGTGCCGTTCTGCCAGACGGGACCCACGGCATGGACAACTCCTTTACATTTCAGATTTCCAGCAGAGCTAAAGAAGACCTGTCCCTCCATAAGGCGACCTTTCTTTCTTGCATAATCATTACATTCTTCCTGAATGGACCTGCCACCTGTGAAAATTATAATTTATAACTCTATGCTTGTAAAATTAATTTATTTTCTATGTACTACTGTATAAAGTGAAATTTTTGGCCCCATTTTATTTTCGCCCAATTTGCTCGTCTCATTTGCGTAAACTTAAAATAGGGTGAAATCAAAGAACACTCCATAAAAATGTCAATAATTAAATTCCTAAAAATCTTATAACTCTTTGCTAGTATATGAACCGACAAAAGAAACTAAATATGGTGTGTCCATCTTACCCTTTTCCACTATAATTTTGGCCAATCCTCCAATGTGTCTCATGTCTTTATTGGCCGGGTTTACAATGACATCTACTTCCAGCTCTAACATATCGACCACCATGGCTGAGATTTTCTTTCCTAGTGGTGTGACACAGACGGCTAGTTCTTGTCTTGGTACGCCAGTCCTTAGAACTGTGCTATCCGTGTCTTCATCAGACAAGCTTTCATCACTCACATCAATCACAACACCTTGGGTCTTTTCAACTGATCGAATTTTGTCCTGACCTTGTGTAGATTCTAAGTGTTTCCTTATTCCTGGCTTCTTAATGGGATGAACTTGTTTTTTAACACCTTGGACTATCTGATCAACAGCATACTTAGCTTTATTTAGTCCCGTTTTGGTACCTTTAATCATGATACCAATATTACTGATTTTTACATTGCCCTTATCCTTTTGAATATCTTTATCAACTTTATCAATGGCTTGTGCACAGTTCATCTGTATATATCTCATCATACCAGAGTCTAGTTGCAATGTTTCTTCATATATAGTATTTTCCATCATAAAATCATCAACATATTCTCGACTGAGACCTTCCCACTTGTCAGTGCAAAGAATAAGAATTCTGCTCTGGTCTATCTGTGTTATTATTTTTATTAAACCCTCTCCTTCTTTTTCAATCTCTGTAGATCTGCTCCGCCATTCTTCTTGTGAAAGCAGAGGTCTTGATTCATCTTTCACATTAACTGGGGTCTCTATCACAGATTCCTTCAGTAAATGTGCTGCCTTAACAGCCTGCTGGTCTGACAATGAATAAACTGTCAAAGTTTCATCTCCTTCTGAGGGCTCCCAGACCCCGATCAGGTCATTTTCCTTCATTTTGCTATTTACGTACTTGCACACTGGCTGGGTTACCAGAAAACTTCTAAGAAATCTAGAAAAGGGCTTTACCTCAGCCTTCACAACTTTACTCAAAAACTCATACATTTCAACTATTGCTGGGGTAACATCACCACTAAGTCCTTCAAAGTAGACACAGTTCTTTCCTACATCATATTTTAGAGATATGCCCTCATACTTCTTTTGAAGATTCTGCTCAAACTTACAAAACTGTAGAATCAGCACTTGATGTCTTTTAATCTTTTTCTCCTCTTGAACTTGCTGTTTCTTCCTGTCCAACTCTTGTTCTACTTTCTTAATGATATCGCTGACTTGTCTGGACACTTCTTGAGATGCCTGTATGTGACCTGTCACATAAATTTCATGATTGCTTTTCTCCAGGACAACAGCAACAGCATCAGGATTACTGATTGTCAAGGACTTCAGCTCATTGAGCACCAGAGGGAATGCTTCCTGTAAAGTGGAATGTTTGGTAACAAGCAGAAGATCCAAAAATTTGTTCAGATTTTCCTTCACCTTGGCTTCCCATGTTTTGGCCAGTTTCTTACAGTCTTTGGTTTCAGCAGTCAAGGTACAATCTACTGTGAGAGACACAGATTTAGACTTCTTTGGCCAGACAGGCTTTCCATACACAGCCTCGAGCTGCTTGTCTATTGCCTGCTGATTTGATGGTGATTTGATAAGGAACTGAAGTTTCTTGGTATCCAGGTCTGTAAGTTCTAATGGTCCTGGAGGTTGGAATGGCCCTTCCTCTTCGCTTTCTACTTGTCCAAGGCACTCATAATAAATCTTAACATCAAGAACCTGGCCATCAACTTTGTGTTGTCTCCTACATACCAAATCCACAGCTTTAAATAAAAAGAAAAAGACAATTAAAGATAATCAGCTGAATTCAAACATATAAATTAAGAAAACATTAACCTAAGCTTGGATTCTATTCTAGATCTGTGTTCCATACATATTATATCATTTTTTTAAATTTTCATCTTTTTTTAATCTGAATCTGTGACTTGAAAACTGCATTTCAAAAGTTTTTTCCTTGCATAAAAAGGGGGGGGGGTGGGGCTATTTCAGCCAAGATAATAAGAGGCTAACTAATTGTGGATTTTAAAACTCTATTTATGTTTATGGGAAAATTTTCAGGAACATTTTTCCCAAATTATTTTACTTAATTTTTAACAATTTCTCGAGTCCATCTTTCTTTTAAAAAATTTTATAATTATAGGGAAATAAAGAAAGATCAATGTAGAATGTAAAAACCTTCTGGCTCCTCAAAGTAGACCAGACAAAATCCATCAAACTGTCTGACGTCCAAAACCCCTGTCACCCCACTCCTTCTTTTATTATCAAAGTAAAACTGAAGAGTATCTCGAGATGTCTTCTCCGAGATGTTTCTAACAATGACACAGTTTGTGATGGGAACCCGGGATACCTCCAGATATGACTTGTCTAAACTCCTCTTCTTACAGGCCAGCTGTAACTTCTCAAAATCTGTTAACAGAGAAAAAAAATAAGCATTGACCTTTATTTTTCAAAATGACCACAAGCAAACGAATGTAGCATATACTTGTTTTCAAATTTTATAAACTGCACTCTATCAAATAGCCATTATATTTTCATGATTTTATCAAAATAAGACAAGGATCCAACATATAATTTGCTGTTGAGGACTAAAACATACATGAAGGTACAATAAAATGCATTATTGTTGAAAAAAGAATTTCAATTAATTGATATGACCTAAATCTTCTTCAAAGGTGACTAAGGCTGCTCCCTCCAGCTCCCCATACTCTATACTTGTGGGTGTTAGGCCGGTTTTTGCTTCCAGAAAGTTTTCCAGTCCATCTCTGGTTGTTTTTTCACTGATGTTTTTGATAAAGACTTTATTTGGGTACATTGACACTGGCTTCGGAGGAGGAGGTGGAACATATCGGCATACCTCAATAACTGTTCCATCAATTTTATGTCTTTTCCGCAATACATTCTCAATAACTGAAACATCAAAGGTCATACAGTTTCAGAAGAGAAAACAGAAAAGAGGCAGCACTGGTTATTGCAATAAGCTGTAATGATATTTTGACCTCAACTTTCAACTAAAGTAATTAAAAACGAAAATCTAATTAAAGAATACACAATAATATCTGAATTTGAAATAAAGACCTTATTAAATTAATATTTTTGAAACACATTTTTGTAAGGAAACCACAAAATGACATCTACGGAATTTTTTTATCCAAATATCTCACCACTTTCATCCTCAAACACAATGTAAAACACCCCCTCCTTTTCTTCTATGTTTTTTATATCTCCTCCTCCAGAACGACGAGTGTTCTCAAAGTACATTTCCACTGTATCTACGCTTGTTCTGTCTGACACACCCCGAACTTCTAGAATGTTCTCAGATTCCATCACTTCCTCCTGATCTGCACTCTCAACTTCTAAACTTGGTCGAAACTCTTCCACTCCTATCTGAACTCCAGAAAATAATATTGGCATCTTCCCCAACACCCGTTTTACAGCTTCAGTTGAAAGGATAAAAAATTATGTTGACACTAAGATATTTGTATATAGACTTAAATATAACAAATCATTTGTCGCTATAAATTAATAATAAAGTCATGAAATCTCAATGATACTTCATTATTTTAGTTGCTCTATATGTAGGACCTGTATACAATTACAGTAAAACTTGTCTAATCTGGACAATGCTGGTTTCAAAGAAAATGGCCATTAGCAATATTCCAAATTAGACTTCATTTTTAAAAATGAATTTACTGCAATGATTGCACTTAAAAATAACACCATTATAAGCAGGATTTTGGATAACACAAGATCCAAATTAGATAAGTTTCACTGTAATATCATTTGAACAAACCAATTGACAGACAGACTCTCTGATAACCATAGGGTGCCTGCAGAGTGGGACCCTAATCCAATTCATTAATGTTTTTTTTTCTTCAAAATATTTACCTTCAGGGTCTTCAAAAGTGATAACAGCTGACTGTGTATCTTGGTCATACTCAATGTCTATTATTGAACCACCACCACTCTTCCTTCGATTCTCAAAGAAAAACAGCAAAGAATCCTCGGATGTACCAGATGGAATATTTGTAACTTTAATCATAGCCACCTCTGAAAGAAGAGATTACAAATCTAAAAACATCTTTATCTCCTACTGGTTTTTTTATGTCCAGGTGTTTGTTTATTTCTCCATTACAGATAAACAGCTAGAGAAACCAATGTTTGATAATGTCCCTTGGAATCTAGAAGGTGCTCTAATAATTTAACAATCATTGAACATATCTCCCTATCCATTGTGTTCTTTCCATGCTATAAAAATACTCATACAGTACAGCTCTTTAGTAAGAACAGGGATATTGCAAATTCACGGATATAGCAAAGTTATGGAACGCCATCACTGCCTTATAGCATACAACTATGCATTTATTATGTCAATTTATCATTAAGTGATGTGAACATATCTTTACGTTATGTCCATTTTTTATGAGATGAGGTAAATATATCTTAACATCATGTCAATGCTGCATTACATGAATTAAATACATCCTTTCATTATGTCAGCACTTCATAACTTGAAGTAAAAAATTCATTATGTGAAGTGATAATGTGTTTACATTGTGTTAAAACTTTATTGCATGAAATGAATTTTTCTTTACATTATTTAATTTCTTTAATATGTGAGGTCAAAATTGCATTACGTCAAGTAAATTGTGTTTTATAATTAAACTTATCATTACATGAAGTCAAAAGCCCATTCCTTTTTGGGAGTGTATATTTCTATTATATCAAAGCATTATTACGTGATATGGATTTATCTTTTTTTTACGGCGAGGGCATCATGATGTGAGGTGAACACATCTTACCTTTACGTCAGTGCTTTATTACGTGGTGTAAAACGTGTATAACGTAATGTGAAGATATCTTTATATTATATCAATACTTTATTACATTATGTCAAAACTCCATTCCGTGATGTGGATATATAATTACGTTATGTCAACTCTTTCTTATGTGATTTAAAAACATCTTTATATTGTGTTAACTCTTTATCATGTTGATTCCAAAAGTTCATTACCTGATGTTAAAAAAAAACATTTACATTATCTCAAAGCTGTATATCTAGTATATATTGAATGTTGACGACCGTGTTTTAATGACTGGTAAGAAGGGGGGGGGGTCCTGATTGATTAGGACAAATTACAGGCACATAATATCAACCCCCCTCTTTTCCCAGACTTAACTTTACTATAGAAAATGTAATGTTCATTGAAACTGTATAGCCCCCACCCCCACTTTTTGTTGAAGTATAATCCACTAAAGGGTAATGTAATATGTCTGGAAAAAAATAGGACTGATCGAAGTTGGACCCCTCTCCCCGAAATAGGATTTTCGGGCTTGGACTTTTTTTCTTGACTTGTTTTTTCGGGTAATGATTTTTTTTCTGGCTGACCTCCTCTTTCAAAAAAAGATGCTACGTCACTGGAGTTAGTAATTTTTTTTAATCATTCCAGGGCCAGAATTCTATTACAAAAATCTACCAGTCGCTCATCTAAATCAGTTGAATATGCCTTAGTAAGCATGCATGGGCACATATCAGTGGCAGATATGGGAATTTTGAACAAGGAAGGGGGCGGTATATGGTTGGAGACCAAGGACGGAAAGCGGAGAAGCTCTCAGGCCTGTTAGTTTTATAGAAAAAAGTTTTCAACTTAATTCAGCTAAGCTTATTGTGAAACTAATGCAATGTCCTTCAAAGTTTAAGACTTTAAAAAAAAATCAAAATAAAAAGAAAAAAATGATTGCTGAATGACTCTTAATATTTGATTTATTTAATTATGAGATTAAAGTAAACACCATTGAATTTCGACGTGACTTTAATTCACAGTTGCAGTGTTAAGGCTTTGCACGTTTCAAGATTGTCAATCATTTGTCGCTTAAAGTTTTCATTTAAAGATGTCATTCCCAAATTGCTGAGAATCTCTTTTACGACATTTTTTTCTCCCGCCATTTTTAGAGCTTGCGGAACGTGGAAAATACGTTATGTTCATATAAAGGCCGAGGATATCCGTGTTCGCATAACGTAATAGTGAATCGACATAATGTAGAAGAGTGCGCACAGTATGGCATGAGCTTTTCACATCAGTTAATAAAAACTAAGATCTCATGAAAAGTAAACATAACGAAATGCAAGTTGACGAAATATAATTGTAGTATGTGTAAATGTCATAAAGAGTTGACATAATGTAAAGGAAAGTTAACACGATGCAATAGTAGTGTGGGTTAATGTCATAAAGAGTTGACATAATGTAATGGAAGGTTGACACAATGCAATAGTAGTGTGGGTTAATGTCATAAAGAGTTGACATAATGTAATGGAAGGTTGACACAATGCAATAGTAGTGTGGGTTAATGTCATAAAGAGTTGACATAATGTAATGGAAGGTTGACACAATGCAATAGTAGTGTTCTGCTATAAGGCAGTGACGGCGTTCCATATAAAGTTATCTTGGATCCCCAGCTTATTTAACAAATTCCTTATGGTTATAGAACGAATTACGAATATATATAGCAAAGTAATTTCATAGGTCCCAGTGACTTCATTACAACAGAGTTTTACTGTTCTAAAAACTCAACTTAGGACCATCATAGGCAGATTTTTCAGTCTTTTTCATGACAAGGTACCAAATGTTACGAAAAAAAAGAAAAAGTACAACAGATCAGACCATGTTCCAAGATCTTAAACTTGAAATTAGAAATTGTTAAAAATCTTAACTTTAACATGACAAATATGTTTATAACACTGCATGTTTGTGTGATATTCATATATAAATACTTAATCAAAATTATTGTTTTATCATCAAAATTATTTCAAATGATCCTTGCCTGTTCTGGTATCTTCCTTCTCTGGGTTTCCATCATCTTCTTGGTCTGGATCATACTCAGCAGATGCTTCTCTGTCCATGTTTAGCTGCTCCATAGAATGGGACTTTACATGAGTTTCTGTTTTAAAGAAACATTAATTTTTTATATACCCTTCTATCATCATGACTTATGAGGTAAAAGATGCTGACCTGGAAGCATTCTTACAAATACAAGTAAAAAATAATTATTATTTTCAGTCAAGTGCTGTAAACAAGCACTACAGACCATTGTTATACATTTGAATACTAGAATAATTTTTCAATACCCTTTCTTATCCCACAAAAAGGTAACAATCAAATAAACTTCAAGTCAAAATAGGATCAAAGTAATTCTTCATGAAGATTTCATAATAGATTTGACCTTAAAATCAAGACCCTCCTGTATGATTAATTTACAGTAAAATAACTTCCATGTCAAACATATCAAACATACAAACAAATGCTTCCATTTTAAGCAATAAATTTTCACAGAAATAAATTACCTGACCCACTTCCCTGTGAACTGCTGACAGGTAAACTTCCTCCTCCTGATTCAGCTTCCTCCTCAGAGTAAGGGGGAGGGGCACCTGCACCCCCTGCTACTTTCATTTTCTCATACATCAGCTGCATTTGTTGCATTTGTTGCATCCATAATTGTGGTGGAATTGGAAAATGTCCACCCTCTGGTGGGTTTCCTTGTGCTGTCGCTCCTTCCTGAGGAATCATGGATAACGGATATTGTGAGGGGGGAAAGCCCTGAAACATGTATGGATTAAACTGGGGATTTGACCCTGGAGCAAAAGGCATCTGCTGACCACTTGCAGCCTGATACATCCGTGCATCAGGCATTGGTAAATGGTATACATCTTGTCTACCAGGCATGTTGGCGTATGTTTCATTCTGCTGGGATCCTGGTTCATTGGATGGATACTGCATATGAGTCTGGGATGATGCTCCCTACAAATTAGGCATTGTTTGTACATTAGGGCTGTCATGGTTCCAAAATTTTTCCGGTCGGGTCGGTTCTGATTTTTTTGGTTCAGTTTCGGTTTTTTTCAGTTCGGGTACTATTATTATATATTGTATTATTTTCAACAGCAAAAAGAATATTTTCATTTAATCTTAGAAATAGCAACATTATATTAACTAGTTTAAAGTAGCTTCCTGACTAGAAAACAATTGTACCAAATTATTTAAATCACCTTATAATGGCAATGTACTAACAAATCTCTCGTTTTTGACTCCATTTTTATAGTAAAACCTACTCTATTCTACAAATCGGAACCAAACCGAATTCCAGAAAAACGGAACCGTACCCGACCCCAATTAATTGTTTCCACGGTTCCAGGTCATTTTGGGTACCCGTGACAGCCCTATTTTACATACACAATAAAATTAAATAAGTACCTACTACAACTCGTAAGACATAGTTCAGTTGTAAAACAAATATTATCTTATTCTAGAATAATTTCCAATGCCAACATAGTCAATTTTGTTTCAGTTTTCTTTATTCTTAAATCTTAAACTGAAGCAATTGAGCCATATTGTACCAGAAAGCTTTCATATTAAAATTCAATAAATCTTCGTAGTGTATATTTCTGCAATACATGTACTATTATAACATCTTAAAATACTTATATTTTACATGTATTCTTATAATATTTTTTTTGAAATTTTTACAAATATCCTTCAAGCAACTAATTCTCATATTCTCTTTATGCTCATTTTATATTTTGAGAAATGGTTTCTACCACAAATTGTTCCCATTCGTCTGGAATATCACAGGCATTATTGCAATGTTCAGCTCTCCACTCACACCCTTTGTAGTTAATGCATTTTGCTTCTAAATAGCTCTGGACATCTGCATAAAAAAAGATAATTATTTAATATATTTAAAGCTTGATCTGTAAACATGCAGTGATTGGGATAAGCATGCGCCCTGCGCCATAGTCGCATTAAATTTCAAAATGTCACATTAAAATTAGAATCACTGCGCCATCGTGGCGCATATATAATCATGCACTACATACTTTTGAACTTTGAGCATTCCCCCAAGCGCTTGTAGTATTTCCCAAAACAATCGCTGTCAATTTACGCTTGATAAAATAGTATTTAATGTCGTTCAATTAAAGCGTTCTTATGACTTTCTTTTTTCCAGTATCTAATCAAACAGTGTTTTCTGATTGGCTAATGTGCACGAAATAAACTGGTGTCAGGCGTGCAGCATGCTGCCTAAGAAAATACCTCGTACCGATAAAGGGCAGACTTTTCTTAATTTTAACAATCCTAACAAACAGAATTCAAGTAAATCGGTAGAAAATGACCCGGAAGAAGTATAACATGCTGACAGAACGAATGGAGATGAATCTGGCAGTAAGACTGATGTAGTCTCGGAGGAAAAACCAGAACGAAAATTTAAAGATGTCAAACATCGGAGACAAAAAATAAAGAATTGAAATTAATTTGCAGTGTTTATTTTCTGACACTTGTGAATTTAAATATACTAATTTTGTATCCTTTAATGTTGTCATTCAATAATTTGACAATTTCAATTAAGTCAAGTCAACTGAAATTCTAACAGCAAGTAATCAATTGCAAGTTTGTAACTAGGAAATGTCCCATTAAAAAGTCTGTTTGGCGCATTGAATTTTGAAATGTCACATTGATACTGACTTGGAGTGCGCCATTGTCACATTTACTTCCTAGCTTATCCCAATCACTGAAACATGTTGTTAACATTTGTAACAAGCTTAAACTAAAACAGTTTTGTGGGTAACAAGTTCACCTACATTACATTTGTACATATGAGTGATTTATTTTAAGACTGTTTAGATGTATATCATGATCAAAAGTTCCCTTGTTATTCATATTTTTAAAAAACATAAAAATTCATATATACTCTATTTATAAATTCGGATGATTCATATGACCTAGACTTGTTACTTGAAGTCAGAAACACATCTTTTTTTTCTAAACTTGCTGTCACTTTAACTAGATAAATACATGTATTTTCCAAAATCAACTTTCATTTTTAAAACATGGAAAACTTCCCAGAAAGTGAATATTTGAGCCAGTGATATCCCTGTTCAAACACACTTTTTTGTGCATCAAGTAACATAAGAAATAAAGATATATCGCCCGCCAAAAAGAATTTAATAAGTAATATCATTTTCATACGTACATTTCTCGTCTTTAAAAAGCAATAAAAGTCTGCGCCCGCCCCTTTGATCTGCTGGGTCAGGAACAGTGACAACAGCGCAGGATCCCTCCACACCAGTGGGATCGGTTTCTAATGTCTCCAATCCATCGCCGTAAACATAGACACAACGCCGATACAAAGTCTGCTTCCACGCACTTCCAGACATCCTTTAGATGGTCTACTACTTAGAAATGTAATGTCATATTCATCCCATGGCCTTTGAACACGAAATATCTACTTTCGTTTTCTTTCTGCATTCTTGAAAAAGATCATTCGTATGTCTTCGGACTTTTTCATGAAACTCATCTTCCGAACGCATTTTTGTGTACTCCGAGTCCGACTTTCGTCATAAATTCGACGAATTGCTTCTCCTAACATTTTTTATGACATAATTATTACAAATTGAATTTGAATAAATGCCGAAATAATGAGCATACACGCATGAATATTAATATTTTAATTTTATTGATATTAAGATTTTAATTTTCTTAATTTACTGCCCTTTTCTTAAATAGAAAAAATTGCCCGTCAAATGCTTTTTATTTTATACAAGTAACAGCTTTTAAAAAGCTTGCCTGACTAAATCAATATCTGAATGAAGAGTGATAAACCTTTTGTGCAATACTTTTGTTTTTGAGAAGCTTTTGTAAATGAAATCTTGATTTTATTTAACTTTTAGAAAAATCATCTCTACACTTTATACTAAAGAGCTGGTATTCTGTAGGGGTTTTCTGCAAGTGGAGTGATCTGCACTGGCATCTAAATTGATTTCGAACTTCTTTGTTACACCTATTATAAAATCTGTTACCAAATCATGCATGTTCAACATTCTAAAAGATGGATATAATTAAATACACTGAAGTAAACAGTAGTAATGTGGGTTTATTATTTTTTCTTAAAAGGAGGGGGATTAGTCCAACTTTCATATATTGAGAATGAAATAAGTAAATTCACTACTTAGACCTGTGTGGAAAGAAAAATTCAAGATTTTGCACTTCTTTCTTATTTATTGTGTGCATCTGAACAGAGAGATATGACAGATCATGCATCTGGAGACCATGACCTTTGTTGAAATGCGTTGTTTATTATTATTGGACTAGTCATTTATGGAATAAACCAACCATGGGATCGGGAAACAAATTAGAAAATTCTTTTTTTTTTCTTTTTCTCTCTCTTTTTTTTTTTTTTTTTTAGTGTTGCATGTCCGTATACTGATATATTATACGATATGTTGTTTAAAAGAATGATATTAAACATTAATTTGTGAATTGTGAAGCATTAAAGGGAGGTTAAAAGGATATACTTTAATTCCATGGAAGTTGGAACACCTATTCATACAACAGAACAATCCAAGGAAAAGGCGCGAAGAAAGCAGTGGCATTTGGCGCGAAAAGAGCGATTCATCCCTTTTGTAGAATATAAATGGACTAATCCAGTAGTATCGAAATGCAGAAAAAAGGATACACAGACATGTTGAAAGGTGAATCACATGGAATAATCTGTTCCATGCAAAAGAGTAAAGGAAGTAAACACTGCAGTATTTTGCATCAGTAATATCATTCTTTTTTTTCTGAAAACTGTTTCTTTTAAAATGCGGGTAAAAAATTCCAATAAAAATCAGCTTTCATAAAATCTAGCTCTCTAGGTATGATCCATTAGTTTCGGATTATGAAAATATCAATCCTTATAGCCTGACGCCGTGACGTCAGGCAATAAATTACGAACAAACACCCATCAGAAACTGACAATAGCACGTGTTCATTCATTCATTTATTCACTCAAAAACCATATGTATCACTATGATACAAGAGGTACATATATAGACATTTACAATAATTACAAAAAATCTTTTCAAATACCACATAAAGCATTACATTCCAGTAAGTAACTGATGAAATTCGTCTCCTATCTGATTATTATTACCTAAATTACACACTCTTTCATTTGATGATGTTATCATCTTCTACAATCGTTTTTTAATCAGCTGATTTTAATTAGATTGGGAGGCAAATGGCAAATGGGGGTACCTGTTTTTGAGAAACTCTCTCTCCGTAATAATATTGACAACCCATTCTTTCTTCCTATTCATCATACCTTAGTATGAACAATCTAAATATTTGAGAACAATTTTTTTTTTTTACAAATCACAAGAAGGTCCAGTACTAGGGAACTACCTTAAAAGAAGAAGAAAAAGCATAGACACTTGTTTCGTCCCCCGCTTTCACGAAAGCGAGGGGACATTAAATCTCATTCGTCGGTCCGTCTGTAAGTCTGTCTACCTGTATTTCTGTCTGTCCTTCACAAAGATTTTAACCTTGGTCATATCTTTTGAACACAGGTACTTGTGGGCAGGACCCCCCCCCCCTTTCCGATATTCAACTCCGGGGCTCGTTGGACATCTTTTCACAAATCATATTTATTACACTTATTCATCATGTGTACCATAAGAAAAAAACCAGGGTCACTCACTCACGTGAGCATATAGTTATGAAAAAGCAGAAATCAATTTTAGGACTGGAAAATGTTTAAATATATGTGGTTTATCCCCACCATACGTACCCCTTAACCATTAAGAATTTTTGTAGCCCCGCCAATATGGACCACGATTTGAAAAAAATAAAAATTTTAATACATGTACCCGATAATGCTTCCAAAAAAAAAAATTACCATTCGGGGCTTTGATAATTAATGCATGATTTTTGAAGGCGTGGTTCTCCATTTGATCCATTATCCAAAGATTTGTTTAAAACTGACCCGGTGGTTCTAGAGAAAAAGAGCAATTGTAAAAGGGGAGAGGACAATGACAACAACAACAACAACGAAGACGGACAACAGACACATTTTTATAAGAAAAGTACACTTGAATCTTTGCTCTCTGGAGTTTCAACATTACCGCTACATCGCCAAAAATTTCAACTCATAATCGCTACATTTTTTTCAAATTTTCAACCGATCATTACCGCAACATTTTTTGGAGGGTTTAAAACAACTCATTACCGCTACATATATACTCAGTATTGAATCAGCCAGGTATGGTACGGAATATGAGTTCCAATCAAAGCTTTTATAAAGAATTCAGCGCAATGTTTTACAGTTCTACGAAAGCCCATTGGTCTCATTTTCGATATATCGCGAAACTTTCGCGAAAGTTTCGCGTTATAACGCAAAACTCTCGCGTTATTTCGCTAAACTTTCGCGTTATAACGCGTAACTTTCGCGAATAAACGCGAAAGTTTCGCGATATAACGCGAAGCTTTAGCGATATAACGCGAAAGTTTTGCGTTATATCCGAGGGGTTATTGAAAAGTTCGTGGACTAGCTTCATAAATCAAAACTATGAAAGTATACAAAAGAGTTTTTACACTTTGGATTAATTGTCAATGTTTTCGTAAGCAATGGAATGACTACGTGGCGCAACCTCAAACAGTGAATCTAACGGAGACAAATGAAAATTTGCCACCCAATTTTCACCCGTGTGGGACACAGTTGACAAAAAGTTCACCTTATTTTTTTAATTTTCTGAGATCTTGATCTTAACAATTTCTTTTTCAAATTCTCTATCAATGTAGAAAAAAGACATCTGAAAGGGTTGATTTTTCCCGAAATTCATAGTTGTGAAGTTAACTTTTGAAAAACTCGCACAAACTTTGAATTGTTTGAATAGCGTTGAGGAAGACCAAATGTGACTGTTACTTGGATTCAATAGCTAGAAAACTTAAAATTATAGCTTGTGGTGGTCAAGGATCAAAATAGCCTTTTGATTTTCATTGTAATGAATAAACTAAATCACAAAATCAAAAGAATGCATGTGTCTTCGTTTTAAAAAGCCAAATTTTCGCGTTATATCGCGAAAGTTTTACGTTATATTGCAAAAGTTTCGAGTTATAACGCGAAAGTTACGCTTTATATCGCGAAAGTTACGCGTTATAACGCGAAAATTTTATTTTTTTAACCTACGAAAATGAGCCCAACGGGCTTTCGTAAAAACATAAGTGATAGTGTCAAATAAAACGTTTTGTTGCTGCTATGTAAGCATGTACTGCTTCAAATATTTGAAGAGAAGTGCAGTTTAGTGCAGAGAGAAGTGCGTGCAGTGGTGGAGGATTCAAGAATGGTGAAAGCAGTTGGAATGAAGAAACAATTTAGGTAGCTGGGTTAACTGGGAAAAGGCACGTAAAGTGAAATTGGGATGGAAAGATTGGGATGGAATGATATTTGGAACCATTCAGACTTCAGTTTAAGCTGAAATCGGTTTCTGATTTTCTTCCCAGCCCGACTAATCTGGAAGCATGGGGAGGGACAGATGATCCTCTGTGGTAAACCAGCAAACTTGGAGTACACATTATCAGCTTGCTCATAGGCTTTGCAAGATTGGAGATACACTTGGAGACTTAATATGAACTAGAGTCCTAGCCAGTATAGCTGCCACCCTGGAGAAAGGTATCAAAAAGTCGAAGAAGAACACAGAGGGCCCGAGATTTGTCAACTTTGTGAAAGAAGGTGAAAAAGGACATGAAGTTACTGTTGAAGGAAGTGGTCTGCTAGGGACAGCAACAGCTCGATTGGCAGATGCGGACAGGCCTCAAAGAAAGATTAGTATTTCCATCTGAAATAATAGCCACAGACAAGAGGCCAGATGTAGTTCTTTGGTCAATGGCTACAAGACAGACAACTGTTTTGGAATTAACAGTGCCATGCGAAGATAAGATGAACGACGCATACGAGATGAAAAAAACCTCTCATTGAAGACCTCCTGAAGGATTGTCAACAGAATGGATGGAGGGTCTGTTTTTGCAGTTGAAGTGGGTTGAAGAAGATTTGTGAGGTAGTCTATGTTGAGGGCACTGAGAGCCATTGGCATTACGGGATCAGAGAGAAGAAGAGAGATAGGGAGTGCAGGGAGGTGGAATCAGCGTCCATGTGGTTGTGGAGAGGTAAAGCAGAGAAGTGGAAAGACAATAAACAGTAATGAGATAGACAATAAAATAGAACAGTGATGTCAGTAAGTAGTGAGGTTGGAACCACGCATCTTTCCATCAAGATGTAAACAAGTAATTTATACCTAGTTCATTATTAGTTACTTATGAGATGTAAAGAACACAAAAAATAACAGGAAACATAAGTATGTTTATTTTCCTCAAAAACAATAAATTGTAACATGATTTTAGATTTTGCTCATTTGGCACTGATAATACTGGTATAATGTAATATAATTGCAAATGTCATTTTTAAAATTGCACTAAATGTCCCATTTTGTAGGAGTTTGCCATCTTAACATCTTTGGAAGTGTTGTGATCTAAATTCTGAAATATGAAAAATATACCGTGCGTGAGAAAATAAAGGCAAAGTATCTAATAAATTTAACTTTATCAGCTGATATTTCAAGAATAAGGAATTTCTAAAGATCTTTTTTTCCTATTGTTCTGGATATGGCGATATGGACTTTTATATAGATTGCGATGCGAATTTATTTTAATAAAAATTGTGAAATAAGATTTGATTTATAATTTTATGTACAGTGGACCTTCAGATATCCGGACGCCAGAAATCCGGATGCTTCAGTATCCGGACGATTTTTCATCGGAACAAAATTTTTAAATGCTGTGTTGTCTTGTTTAATTGGTGATTCAGATATCCGGATGCTTCACATATCCGGGCAAATGGACTGGGAACCAAAGCGGCCGGATAAATGAGGGTCCACTGTAATATATCATACCTGTTTAGAAATTGTCAATAAACTGCACTCTGTTGAGGTCCACACGACCTACATTAGCTAAAGCTTCTCTGTGGTTACGAGTTTTTCTCTGGAAAATAAAAACAAAAACAGTTAAGAGTACCAGTATAATTCATGTTTTCTTCCAGTATTTAGAATATTAATTCTTGTTTAGATAGAGGATGGAATGAGTACCCACCACATAAGGCCGGTGTCTGGCACAGAAGCCGGGTTTTTCTCGCGGACCTTTGGTCGAGGTCGTGTGTAGTATATCTTTTGTCTCACACACTCGTGTCTGAAGTCAACCCGGGACAGCCACTCACACCGAAAAAATAATTTCTTTAAAAAACAGAGTTCATTTATGTAGACTTGGAAAAAATTAAAAAGTGAATTAAATGGTAACAGAAATACCGATTAGTCGCTTCGAATCCCACGAAGTGGTAAATCAATATTTATGCAAAATTTGATTCGTCTTTGCTTACAGATAAATACTTTATACTTATAGCTGTACATCACTTGGACCTACCACGTGAGTGGGGTACTCCTCTGTGGGAACCAGTCTCCGTGTTTCTGATTCATTGACAAACCGTGTCAACTGGGACTGGAATAAAAGAATAAATAAATATAATACACGTAAGAAAATAAATGATTTTGATGAAAAAGTATAATCATTTCATGCGTCCATATGCTTACCCATTCATCCATCCGTTCTTTCCATTCATCGACCAGAGGTCTGTAAATTATGTCTCTCTGTAAAATAAAATAATTTTCGTTAAAAGTTAGTTGGATCTTTTTTTTTGGAGGGGGGGGGGGGTGGTCAAGAATTTCTTAATTTCGAAATTCAACTTTATATCAAATTTAGAATTATAAGCCAGTAAAATATGTCATCATTAAATAGTGAATAGTAATTGCCAACATTAAAGTACTATTAGGAAAGAGTTTATTCTAAAAAAAGAGCAATATGAATGTATTTTTTAAAATGGAAGGATTGTTTATTACATTAATTGAGTTGACATGGAGGGAAAACTTACGCCTGTAGCGATGACATTCTGTGCATACCACCACGCCTGATCAGTGGGTATATAGGTCTCTCTTGGAGTATAGGCTGTAATAATGAAAAATACTTGGATTAAAAAAAGAGAAAATAATGTTTTTAGGTAAATGCTTCAATAGTTGTCAAATTTTATTTCCTGTTCAATGAGTTGAGAGAACATATCTTGTAGGTGACAATTCACTTACTGAATTTTTGCCCTCTGAAGTCTCCAGTTCTGACCATGCCCGGTATTTCTTGTTGGACTCGTCAACCTCTGAATGTGTGAACAAGAAGTCCAAAGTATCACACCGTGGCCCCCGTGACGGTCCCTCCTTGTCTGGGATGTCAGATGTTGCTCCGCCATCACTGACTGATGAGGACTCCTTTTCAGATCCCAATAAGAACGTAGGATCCACACCTCTGTTCTTAAGTTGGCTATTCACTCTATCTTTGTCCTGTAGATCAGGTGGCGTGTCGCTCCCAGCCGGGTAGTATCCAGTAATAACACAGTCATCCTCAGTGTTTCCTCCTACTAAGGTATCGGACAGTTTGGCCGCTAAATCATCACCAGGGGAAGACCAGTCTGGTCTGTCTTCTTAAAACCTTTCTCCAAAGGATACAGTGTCTGTGTCCCTTCTGTGTTGCTGTTGACGAACATCATAATTATCTTTCCCAGAAGAGCAGCATTGTTCCAGCCCGACATCTGACTGGGGAAGATCATAGTCAACCTCAGCTGTCCTCAGAAAAGAAAAAAAGAAAATTAAAAAGCCCATAATGAAAATTATAAACTATAAGCTTTGAAGTACAATGTAAATAAAAGACAGTTTGCTAAAATTTACCCTTCTTGCTTTATAGGCAGCACAGTGAGTAAGTATTACTTTCAATTTCATGTTGAAATTTCAGATATAGGTTTCTGAATTTTTTGCACGTCTGGTCGCAATCAAATGGCGCCGTATCTATGACATGACGTTGCCAGAATGCAACGGCATAAAAATGGGGAAAATGACGTCATAGTGATAATTAAAATGTTTTAACAAAATTATTTCTTAGATCAATAGATATTGCAAAAATTGACTTACCCGTTAGTTTGAATCAATCTTTTGGAAAAAAAAAATATTTACATGGGTCCTCTGACGTCACAATAAACTAGAGTGTAACTATTTGCCTTTATATTTAGTGAAAATTAAATTTATAAGTCGAGTTTTTTTTATTATTATTATTATTATTATTATTAATTAGTGTTTTGTTGTTCTCCTTATAACGGGTTTGTGTGTGGGGGAGAGAGAGAGAGTGTTTGAAGGAGGGAGGGGGATATATTTTTAGTCCATGGGTCACAACGCGTATTTCTATTATACAAAAAAATCATGTCATTATGCAAAACACACGATTTTATAACATGTAGAAAACATAATTTATTCGTTTTAAATCGTTTTAAAGTTTAAACGATTAAAAAAAATTGTACAAACAATTTTCTTTAAAAAATTATACAAATGAACTGCTATGTCGACAGAACAAATTTCACGATCGTTAATCGATTTTTGAAATTGTAGAAACAAATTCTAAATCATAAATGAATTTTTCGTATATTTTTTTTTTAAATTGGAAAGGCACTTATACGCCACCGTATGTATGTGTCGCAAATGACCGATTTAATTACCGATTTAATTTGATTAATTAGTAACAAAAATAGACGTGACAGCAGGTACTGTAAGTATGGTAACAGTTGTTTTATTATATTCTTTAGATATGAAGACTGCGCCTGCCTGGTTGCTCTGCTAATTCTCTATCATAAAAGATTACTTCATCTCAAACTGTTTCGTTGATGTGCATGCTACAAAGTGGTTCACAATAAGTCAAGTACGGTGTATTAGAATATTACTTGAACAATCAAACTATTTATTTATGCTTAAAATTACAAGTAAATCATTGAAAAAAAAATATATTTGAGACTTTGAAATGTATTAAAGATACAGAAATCGAAATATTGTATCATCTCGAAAGTAGAGCAGATTTGTAATGTGGGGTAAGAAAATATGGTAGCCTATACCCTATACAAGAGAAAAAAACTTAAGGTACGATACATAGGCAAGTTTTGCATTGGTACAGTGAGGTTTTTTTTTTATTTTGTTGATTGAACTTGAACACATTCCATCTATGAATTTCTTGCTTTTACTCCTTTTTTAATTCTCAAACTCTCGATACTCTGGTACTCCGAGTAGAAAACACAATGAATCATATGATGCATCATTCCTTATAGCTTATTAGTACATTGTATATCTGCTTTTGATTTTCACGACCCGTTTCGCTGCTTCTACAATATTTGTCTGATTTCAATGAAACTTTCTATTTAGAAAGACAAAAATACATGTCATAATTTCCTGTGCTTGTTTTCGATTTTGACAAAACAATCAGATTAAAATAAAACCATATCATTCATTAAACTAAGCAATTTTTTACGTTCAAATTGAAAAAAAAGTCTGTACAATTAAAACTTTTCCCGTTCCAGTAGAAGCTGTAAAGACGGTATTGACAAGGATACAATATTATTTTCAGGGGCTCATATTGGTGTTGTCAGTGTGTTTAAGAAGCCATGGAACCTGAGAATATTCTAGAAGTCCGTGGTGTGTCGGACAGAACAAGTGTGGATACAGTGGAAAAGTACTTTGAAAACACTCGTCTCTCTGGAGGAGGAAATATAAAAAACACAAAGAAAAAGGAGGGGGTGTTTTACATAGTGTTTGAGGATGAGGGCGGTTAGATTGATTTAATTATTACAGATATACATAGATTTGATTTTATTGTTTTTTTCCATGCAATTACGTCCAGAAGTCATGTTT